TGTACTTACTTGGCATCCTGCCATCCCTCCACATGATTCTGGTACGTTCTACGATGTTCCGGACTATTCTAGACAGCGTCCGGATTACTCGCATTACTCAGCCATGGACTATCTGACCTTATGTCGATTATGCTCCCTTACTCAGCGTTACTCATCGCTCAGTCAGCGTCCTCTGGACGTCACATGCTCTCTTCTTATACGCTTACTCATCGTCCTCCCCAGTAGTATATAAGGAGGACTCTGCAGGCCTCTGCTCTTCAGTCGTTCTCTCACAGACTGAAGAGTAAGTCCCACACTACCTATGCTTCCTTACATGTTTACTTACTAGTACTTGTAGCCTCTCTTTGTGCGGCTTACAGGTACAGTACTATGCAATCATAGTCGTTCTCTCACAGACTGAAGACCTCTCTTTGTGCGGCTTACAGCCTTCCAGGTTCAGAGTTCATCACGAGTTGCTTGTGGCGTTGAGGCCCGAGCGGTTTCGTGAAAATGTCCGCTACGTTTTCCTCCCCGGAGATATGCTTGGTCGAGATGAGTTGCGACTGTGCGGCGTCGCGAATCCAGTGGTACGAAATATTGATGTGCTTTGTACGGTTGGAAACTTCGTCCGGGTTGTTGATCATCTTGATCGCTGTCGTGCTGTCGATGCGGAGAGGAGTCGGTGGGGGACGAGGCGAAGGGAGGAGTCCAAGTTCGCTAAGGAGTTGTCGAAGCCAAATGATCTCGCGCCCGCAATGTGTGCTGGCGTAGTACTCGGCCTCACCCGTGGACAATGCGACAACCGTCTGCTTCTTCGCTGACCACGAAATGCAGCCCTGGCCAATGAAGATAGCGTAGCCAGAAGTCGACTTGGCGGTATCCGGGTCGTTGCCCCAGTCGGCGTCACAGTAGGCGAGAGGTTGAGTAGTGCCATTACCGCCCACAGTCAGGACGTAGTCACGGGTGCCCTTGAGGTACTGGAAGATTCGCTTCACAGCTTGCCAATGAGGCTTGCCAGGATTCGCCATGAACCGCGCGACACTCTGGACAGCCTTCGAGATGTCGGGCCGAGTGTGGACAGCGATGTGCATAAGTGTACCGACCGCGGACATGTATTTGACGTTCCGCATGAAGGCGATGTCCTTGGGTGTCTGCGGTGCTTGGCTTGCTGAGAGACGCTGGCTGTGAAGCATCGGGGACCATACGGGATGTGCATCCTTGAAGCCGAATTCTTCGAGTGCCTTGTCAATCTTGTGCGTGTGCGAGAACGAGATCGTGCGTGCTTTCAGATCGCGAGTGATCTTCACGCCCAGCAAGAGAGATATATCTTGTCCGTCCTTGATCGGGACCTCTCGCCGAATCTCGTCCTTGATTTTGTTGACAGCAGCAAGAGACAGCCCGAGTCCGAAAATGGCGAGGTCATCGACGTGAGATGTCACAATGGCGAGATTGCGGTCGTGGTCATACCGGAAGAAGACGCATGGGTCGGACCGGCAAGTTGTGAAGCCAATCGAGGTCATGATCGACTTGAGCTTGCGGTACCAGAGATAGCCAGACTGCCGAAGTCCGTACAGCGCTTTACGCAGCCGCCAGACCTTGGTCTCTTGGCCGTGCAGCGTGAACCCGGGCGGTTGCTTCACATACGCTTCTTGGTCGTCCGGCATCTCGCTGTTGAGGAACGCGGAATCCACGTCGACAACGTGAATGATGCCATCCCGCTGTGCAGCGATTGCGCAGATGGCTCTGATGGACTCGGCTTTTGCAACCGGTGCGAAGGTCTCCTGGAAATCAACGCCAGGCTGCTGAGTGAAGCCTTGAGCGACCAGCCTGGCCTTGTAGCGAAGGACGTTGCCATTGGTGTCACGCTTGACCAAGAAGACCCAGCGTGTCCCGATAGGCTTGCGTCCTGGAGGTAGACTGGTGAGCTCGAAACTGCCCAAGGATGCGATTGACTCGAGCTCTTGCACCATCGCAGCTTCCCACTCGTTCGCCTCAGGGGATGCCATCGCCTCCTTGTAGGTTTGCGGTTCATCTCCAGATATGGCAAAGGAGTGTTCGAGGAGGGCGCCGATGAGATTTGCGGACTCATCTTCGTCGTTTGACCGCTCCGACTCGGAGAGCTCAGTAAGGTCAGACTCAGACATGTCTGCCTCCGGAACATCTCCCCCTGGGACAGGATGCTCGACGAGTGGCGGCTCCGGTGCTGCGACTGCTTGTGGAGGGTGTGGCTCCTCAGCAGGAGCGTTTGGAGCTGCCTCAACGCCGGCCTTTGCTCGTACACGGCTCGAGTGACGGACGGCGACACCGCCCTTCTTGTTCTTCGAGCCCTTGGGCCGTCCACGAGGGCGTGGGGCTGGTGGAGCGTCTGGTGCAGGCGGAGCAACAATGGGTGCTTGCTGTTCGTCGGGAGCTGCATCAGGAACAGCGGCGGCCTCGTCGGGTGCGGCGTCGAGTGCGGATGTCTCGGAAGTCTGGCCGTGAGATGGTCGACTATCATCGAGATCTGCTTGTGGGTCGAATGACTCGATGAGCGAGTCGTAGTCTTTCTCCCCCTCGGGCAGAGTTCCTGAGAATCCATTCGCATCGTCGTGGAACCGCACGTGAATTGACGTGACAAGCTTCCGTGTGTCTGGGAAATAGACACGGTAAGCCTTCTGGTTGTCCGCATATCCAACGAAGATGCCTTCGCGTGCTCGTGGATCGAGTTTTCGTCGGCTCGGATGGTCGTTGTAGACATAGGCACGGCACCCGAAGCGGTGCAGGAATGAGATGTCCGGGGCGTGGCCATACCGAGTCTGGAAAGGGGTCGATCCGTCAAGTGCAGCAGTCGGGTTGCGATTCTTCGTGTAGACGATGTAGTTGACCGCCTCTCCCCAGAGGTTGAGTGGGAGTCCAGAGTCGATGAGGATGGTGCGGACACGGTCGAATATGCTGCGGTTCTGGCTCTCTGCGACTCCATTTTGTTCAGGAGTCCTAGGAGAGGTGGTCTGGAGCTGGATGCCACGCTCCTTGCAGAAGTCCTTGAACGCATTGCCTACGTATTCGCCGCCGTTGTCAGCACGAAGCTTGGCCAGCTTGAGTCCAGTCTCACGTTCAACTCGGGCGAGCCACTCCTTGAACGCACCAAAAGCGTCCGACTTGTGTCGCAGGAAAGCAACCCAGAGCCAACGGTGGTAATGGTCCGTGATTGTCATCACGTACCGCTTGCCGTCAGGTGTCTGAACTTGTGCTTCACCCCAGAGATCGGTGGATGCGAGGAAGAGTTCGCGCTCGGGTCGACCACTCTGAGAGCGGGGAAATGAGGCACGAGTCATCTTGCCTTGCATGCAGGACGAGCAGGGTGGTGGCTCAGCGTTGAGCTCAGCTTTTGACAGCTTGACTCCACGCACGAGGCCTTTGCGGACAAGTTTCCGGATGGATTGATAGTTGAGGTGTCCGAGACGCCCGTGGAGGTCCTGCAGTCTTCCGTATGGGTTCGTGGAGACGTGGAATGCGGACTCGCTCGGAGTATCCAAGTGATATAGCCGGTCGGCGCCCTTCGTGCCTGTCAGCACAACACTGCCGTTCCCGAGGACGTTGCGCAGAAGAGCACCGCCATCACGATTCTCGAACGTGACACAGCGACCGTTGCCAAAAAGCGTATAGCAATTGGCATTGTCAAGCCGTGATACAGAGATGAGACTGGGTGAGGTGCCCGGCACGTAGCAGGTATCAGTGAGGCGGAGGCGTGTGCAACCATGATCAGGTAGTCGTGCTAGTAGCTGCGCCTCGCCGCGGCCTGCGACGGTTGTCCTGCCATCGCCGAAGCCGCGTATAGTACTAGACGTCGAGTGAACGCCGACGAAGTCTGCCTTGACCGAGTGGATGTGTGAGGACGTGCCCGAGTCGATGATGACTTGGCCGGGCATACTCTTGCGCGAGCGAGAGACAAAGGCAGTCTCAGTGTCACACAGGGAGTACTGGTTAATGGAAGTGTATAGGACGCGCTCGGAACGTACAAAATGCGACTGCTCGTCGTCGGAGCCAGAGTCCGCGCCGGAGTCCTGCGCTACGTTGGACTTGTCCTTGTCCTTCTTCTTCCCTCGGCCGCGCTTCTTCTTTGACCCGCCGCCGCCGTCCTTCGACCTGCACTCCGAGCTCCAATGCCCTTCACGCCTGCAGAAGCGGCACCACTTCGATCCGCGGGAGCGGTGGTCGTTCTCGAGAGTGGTGAATGCCAGCTCAAGTGCCATGGCGGTGTCGGTCGACGAGCCCGGAGGCTTCATGCCGACGACGCGCCGGCGCTCGTTGCGGACGTCTGCGAGTGTCGAGTTGAGGGTCGTGGTGTCGGTGAGGGAGAACTTGGCGGTGAAGGCAAGCCACTGAGTGGGCTCGCCGTCGATGTCGACGAGGGTAGAGAGGAAGATGCCGGCGGCCATTTGGTCAGGGACAGAGAATCCGGAGGACTTGAGGTGCGCGATGGCTTCCAGGTACGCTTGGATGTGCGGCTCGAGGTTGTGTACGGACGAGAGGGGCGCGACGAGTGACCGAAACCAGGTGACAGCGGAAGTCAAGGACGTACGCGAGAACTGAGTCTTCAGCGTAGTCCAGAACTGCATCGCCGTGTCCAAGGTGTTGACAGTCGACTGCAGGTCGGCCGCGAGGTTGCGCATGATGAGCGTGCGCGCGGCGCCGTCCTTGCGCTTCCAGAGCGAGAGTGCGGTGGTGTCCGTAGAGGAGGGGGCAAGCTCTTCGCCACTCACCACTGTCCAGAGGGTCGCGTACTCGAGCGCACCCTGCATTTGCATCGACCATGCCCGATATCCGTCTTCGTTCTCCAGCGGACGCGTCGGGACCAACGAGTTGACGCCGGACGGGAGTTCCCATCCTTTGGTCGACATCGAATTGGTCGTGGCGGCGCGTGCGGCGAGTTCAGCGGTGCGTTCGGGGGTCGTAGCAGGGGGTGGTAAAGGTGTCGAGTCGGGAAGGGACGGTGGTTGTGTCGTGGGCGAGCCGCCGGGGGTGGTCATAGACGTGGGATCGAGACAATCAGACGAGATCGGAACTGAGTCGTAGGTCGTGAATGACAGTCGTTAATAAGGCGTGATAGCGTAGACCGGATCCGTGAGTGTCTTCGCGCGAGACCGACGAACTGCCCGCTACTGGCGAGCAGGGCTCATAACCTAATAGCAGACGCGGGTGAGCGGGAGCTCAGTCGGGCGATAGAACGACTGAATTAGACTCTGTACCTAATAGCAGACGCGGGTGAGCGGGAGCTGTAAGTACAGAGTGAGTGGGCTGTATGAGTATCGTAGCATAGAGCATGAACATACCTCAGTCGGGCGATAGAACGACTGAGGAAAGAGAGACGTAGCACGGCCGTACGTAGGAGGTGGTGCGGAGTTTGAAGTGATAAGTAAGTAATGTAAGTACTCGAATGAAAGTCCGATAGGCACATATACGACAGGTGCTATGCGTACTAAGTAGACTCAACGTCACCGTATTTCAACATACCTCTCCTTTACTCTTTCTATTCTCGCTTTCCGTCGCAACCGCTCGCCTCGTCAACCGAACTATTGACGATGAGAACGGTGATAGCGTCACAGGTGTGAAGCCCGTATACCTGCCTACTGTCGACCCCGATAGCAACTGGCAGCAAGGAGCCACCTGTACGACTTGCCACCTGCTCCCAAAGAAAAACATCGACCTCTTGCAGACCGTCGATGGTACTTGGCACGACTCCACATACACGCCGGGAGATCTAGCCCACACCATCAATACTCCCTTCTCGGGTACGGCGATCTATGTGTTCTTCATCGTCCCCAACACCGTGGCGAATACGATCACCTACGTGAACCTCACCTTCCTGATCGACAACACGTTTTCCAACTCGTACGAGCACATCCCCGACGCCACCTCTACCATCTTGTACAACACGCTCGTTTTCCACGCAACGAACTTGACCAACACCGAGCACAACATCGAAGTGCGAGCAAGTGGGGCCAACTCATCCCTCCTCATGTTCGACTACATGCTCTACACCGTCGACGAAGACGACCCGAGCTCTTCAACACTCGGATCGGCATCCGCAACCACCCTTCCCGCATCGTCGAACTCTCCTAACCCGTCTCCCCCCGGAGTAGAGCGGGACTCCCGATCGTCTCCGCCTATCGGTGCCATCGCGGGGGGTGTGGTGGGCGGCGTAGTTGTCCTGTCCGCACTGCTAGTCCTACTGTGCTGTCTCCGCAAACAGCGCTATCGCGGATTCGTACCTCCCCGATTCACAAACTGGTCAAAGAAGCCTCCGGTTTCTCTCCCTACTACGACACCCATGGCCGACGCCTACAATTCGCCCGCGACCGCCCTTGCACGGCCCGTAACACATCCTCATGCGGTGAGTGCTCGGACTGTGCACGTTGATGGTTGTGTACGCATGCTCATGCCATGTCCTCGCGCAGCCCTCACTACCCGTAGACAATATCGGCCGCGCGGGATGGTCCACGACCGCGTCGTACTCCGACACTCCCCCTCTCCAACCTCCACACGGCCTCGGCACCCCGTCCAGTAAGGAGTTCCATTCGGTTGAGTCCGAGTCCATGGGCGTCCGTCGCCGGGATTCTCTCTCGAGCCCGAGCGCGTACACTGGATCCTCGCGAACGACAGACCCCGCATTGCGAGCCCAGGTGACGCTACTCCAGGAGGAGCTAGGACGTTTACGCGCAGATCAGCGGGAGATGCATGCGTTGCTCATAGAACCTCCGCCGGTCTACCCCGACTAGGTTTGTGGACCTTTGGCGGGCATTGTGGACCCCTGCCGCTGCTCGGGGAGATATTGTCGAGGGCAATGCATCATTCGGTGAGTATGCTTTCGTTCCGAACACAGCAGAGGATTCACTGAGTTGATTATTGACTCGGCACAGACTGGATTCATGTTTACTCTGTCTATGATAGTGTGTACTAGGGGATATATCCGACATTATCGGGGAGGATTGTGTTAGCTGGGTCACTTGTTAATAAACTTTTCAAAATGTTGCATCACTTATAGACTGGGAGGGGATCATGGCAGGCAACACACAAGTAAGTGTACGAACGGCCCGCAATCAAAAGCACGAACGGCACATGTCATGTGAGAGCTAGCGCATCGCAAGGTACGTAGTACAAGTGCATCCTAGACAATCCACAGACAGCACAAGGTTCCGGAAAGCTCAGTTGGCCATAACACGCTACGCGGAAGCAGACGAGATTCAACGGCCGTCCGTCCGGCATTGCGTCCTCCCACAGCCAGTCGACGACCCGCCTCGCGGTCTCCTGCGTGAGAAGCTGGCTAGTAAAGCCCGCAAATCCTCTTATAGCGGCGGATGGGGGTATTGCCACGTCGGCCGGCGGAGAGCTGCACATACATTGTGAGGGCGGGAGGTGGTGCATGTTCGGGGTTACCTCGTCCTCGCGGACGAACCGGGGTGCTTGGCCTGAATCTGAGAGCCCGTCTCCACTGGCGCTGGCCCCATCGGCGGGAGAGTACTGGTGGACCAGGGTGACTGAGATGCACGTCGCGGCGGGGACGTATTTTCTGGCCGCCTCCATAAGGGCATCCACGCGTTTGCGCGACACACCCCGGGCGTCCACCGCTGAGACATCCACATGGAATTTCGCGGGACTCTCCATGATGAGCTCTATGCCCTCGGAGAAGCGCTCTATCGCAGCTGGGAACGCGAACTCTGCAGAGACGGCCTGGAGGTGGGTCCGGTACGGCTTCAGTTGGTTCAGCTGCCAGCCCTCGCCAAGCATTCTGATGAGCCATTTCCGCCGCGCGGGATTGCTCGCTGATAAGATGTTGTTGAGCAGGACCTCCTTGGGGTATTTATACCCGAACAAAGCGATCTCCATCATGGGCGTTGTACCGACCGCGACAGCGTTCCGCAACTTCTCGGTGGGCTCGGGGAGCCCAAAGACACGACAAGTCTTCAATGAGAAGGGCGGCAGGAGATATATCCATTCGTACAGATGTTCCTTGGGGGTTGGAGCGCGGTGGACAACAGTTAGATGGCGCACGTAGCGGCGGAGGCGTGGGTTATTCAGAAGGGTACGGGCAAGCGATCGCGAGAATGGTGAGGAGGTATGGAGGGAGACCTCCCTGTAGGATGCATGCGCGGCGTTCCGGTGCCAGTCTGCACAAACGAGTCCCGCCTGGGCCGCGTCTGCAGGGTCGAGGTAGGAGAATACCTCGTACAGGATATCGTCGGGTAGCCATGATTTGTTCTCAGCCGGTCTCTGATTGACCCGCGCGAGAGCGAATCCTACGGCGTACAGAGATGCGAGGCCGAATATGACCGTTAGAGGCCTGACGGAGTCGGGTGCGGTCTCGGTGCTATGGACGATCCGTCAGCCTGTTGGGATCCATTCATTCTGAATACAAGAATTGAGTTTCTTACATAGTTACATCCCGCGTCGAGGAGAGCCTCAGTACAGGTACAAACCGCCACAGGCCCATCATAGCCACAACCCAGGATAGTTGGATAGTTTATTGATCAGAACGATCATGTGTGTGTTGCAGTTAGAGACGGGGCAGATTTTGTATGATTACGTATACGTAGCCAGTGGATGTGGGTACAGGGAGCTAGGCTTCGCGCTGGACGTCGAGAGGTGCTGGTGGTGGTGGTCCAATTTACGATATCGATTTCCGAAAAGGCGCTTGTAGGGTACGTAGGCGCTCGTTAAAGGCTTGCCACAGCGCGCTCACCTTCCTTCTTACCCTCTTCTTCCCTACCGAATGCTGGGTTAGCTACGACGCTTCAGCTATGAAACTTCGTGTCTGCCTATGTACCCGTCTGCAACAGATATGCTCACCCACAGATTTCGCCGTTCTTTGGCCGCTTCGACAAGCATCACGGTCAATATGAGGCTTCGGAAGGCAGTAACGCTTCAACTCTGCCCCAGACTTTGTTATGAGCTTCCCGTTCCAGAAACCTTCGACCTGGGCATCGTGCATTTGAGATTCCAGCCGTCGATAGATCTCCCAAACTTGGTACTTAGTTTTCTTCTCAATCCTTGTCACGCCTACCGCAGCGGAGCAGTATTAACGCCTCCTTTTGTCAGGCTCACGCCTTATGCATATGCCGTGCTGGCAAGCCGTGACAACCATGAAAACGCCAGGTTTGGACCGACGTCTGATCACTGAGGTAGCTCCGGGGATCTTCGAGGGACCATCCGTCGGAGGCTACACGCCCATTGATTGCTCGCAGAACTTCCCCCGCGAGTGCCGCACATGCACAGCTCAAAGCAGGTCCCACCAGTTTTCCTTGTGCCGACCACCATCATCTTGCTTCGAAGAAATTCTGGGCATCAAGCTCCATAAAAATGCAGGCCTCGGAGCCTCCCGCGGCTCGGCTCCAAAATTCACCGTCGAACACAGCGCCAGTCAATACATGGCTCCGACTGCAAAACATTTCATGGCGTCGTTCACATTCACTCAAGATTTACGATCAATCGGGCAGTACGATCGCGAGAGTCTCCCTGTCAGACGGTCGAGGACCTCGCGGTGGGCGCCTGCGCTGCTGGTCAGCTGGACAGGTCCTGCCCGGTGATGTCTCCTCGCGCGAAAGTGCGAGAGAAAACAAAGGTGCGCCTTTCCAAATAGGTTGGAGAATAGACCGTGCCTGTGCCGCTAAAACTGATGGGCCACCGACAGAACGAGGGGACCTCGAGTGAAAGCCACGACCCGTGGGTGGCTACGCGCGGGGAGCGCAATGGGTCAACCTGGTGCTCGCCGAGTCTGCGTGGGCTCTCTGCGTCCGCGTCTGGCTCGCTCCGTCGTGGTCTGCGCCTTTCAACAGCGGATATAGACGGAATTTGGAGTCCGACTCGCGCGAATGAATGGCGGAAGATGCCAGTGGCTGGACTGGACTAGGTCGGATGGACTCATCTTTGGGGAGATCCGTATTGTGCATGATCTTCACAGGTGGTGCAGCAATAGACTGCGGCCCTCTTGTCACGCACGGCTTGCTGAGGTGGATTCGAGTGCAAGTGGACGGTACACACACTCCGATCGATCGAGTCCGCGATGTGGTCCTGCTCACTCCTCCTATGCTCGCTATGGGATAGTCTGCCCCGCTATGTCCACCAAAACGTACCCGGTGCCCCTCTGCATACGGCACTATCGTTTTCAGTTATCAAGGGTGGAAACCTTGTGCCGTCGACCAGAACGGAAGTTCAACTGCAGCCACAGGACTTCGTGGGTATGGTCTATTCGTGAATGGCATCCTGCTACTGTATACTGATTATCCTTTGCACTGCTCCAGGATTACTTCCACCTATATAGAAATCGCCCGCCTCACGAAACATCTCGAAGCCGGCACAGTCCACTCATCACCACTCTGCACCGCGCTATCATCACCCCCAAGCATCGAACAAAAGCGAAGCCACTACCAAGGTACGGCACCGCTCCGCTCTGGCAGGTCGAAGTTAGCTGTAGTACCAACGAGGCTCTCGGCACGTCGACGGACAAGGCAACGCCATCGCCGCAGCGACGCGCGAAGCTCGCCTCTCCTTCGCGCTCCCATCTGCCAGCCGCCGCCCTTCTCGCATTCAGATAAGCCGCCTCGTGCCCGCTGTGCCAGCACCCCCACGCTGTCGCTCACACGCCGGCACGTTCGAGAGGGCTTCGCGCCTGCGACCCTTTCTCCCCAGTTCGGGACCTCTCCCACCGCGATGCCGTGCGGGCGGCGGCGTCCATGCCTATCACTCTCGGTGTCTTGCTTGCCTCGCCTGCCGCCGTGGGTGCTCGTGTATCGCCCGCAATGCCGGGTTCGCCTATGTTTCCCCGCCAGCGACCAGCCCCGTCCCCGTGCCTGGCAGCGCGGCGCGGCTTGCTACTACTACGGCCGATGCAATAAAGCAGTTGCCGCGAAGCGGCCTTACCCGCGCGCGCGAACGTTCCAACTCCCACCCGCACCGCGCGACGCTTTGTGCCACCGAACGCGCCCGTATGCTGCGTTGGGCACTTCGGGGACTTGGCTCTTGTCGCCATGAATAACCGTATCTTCGTGCTGCGTTCGAATGTATCGCCGTTCTGACCGAGCGGAGACAGTTTGGCGGCGACGCGCCGGCATGCATACAAACGACCCTACAAGCTTCCTCTATCATCTTCGTCCAGCTGCGCATGGTGAACTTAGTACATTCTCCGACACTCTGCGCTGATAGAACGGACACTGCCAGCACGATGCAGCTATACAATGCAATGCATGCATTCCAAGCTCATGCGCGCACGTCCTTCACGGCCACCACACCGTAGCCCAGGTGCATGGTTTGAATTCTAAGTCAGCGTATGCCGTCCAGTGTCCACAATCCCCCCACGCCCGTCGGCCGACATCTGACAGCGAACGCGATCGAAGCCGGCGGCGTCGCAACGATTGCAGGACTGTATTGCAGCCTCGTCCCGGCTCTGCCCAGTGCACTCGGGCTCGAACGTGCATTTCCCCGGGCGCGTCTCCCGCCGCTCACGGGTCCTGTCCGCGCAGGCCCCCGGGCGCGTCGCATCACGTCGTGCTCACTTGACCTCTGGGGAGTGCCCAGGGCTGGTCGGCTAGCTGCTGCTGCTCATTATCGACGTCATACATTACCGGTGCTTGTTCGCGCAGCGCTGCTGGTGAAGTCTTTGCATCGGCATGCGCGCGGCGGACGCTCGAGAGCGACCGCGGCCGTGTATGGTGCCTTCAAACCTGTACATCCCCTGTCTGATTAGGAACGATTCCGATATGTACACTTTGCGGGGCGGCCTCCGAGTCCGACTCCCGCGACGGCCGTTGTGGACAACTAGCAGCAATGGCGCATCAACACGAGGAGTGGCGAGACCTATAACGAGCACGATAGCGTCTTGTCCACATTGTTCAACGGGTTACGAGAGCAAGGCCACAGATACGACCTGCTCCGAGAGGCTCGACGGGTAAGCATAGTGACTGACCTGCGCACCCACATGTTTGTCAATGTCCGGCCTCGGGTGTCCTGGCCCTCGACGCTTTATCACAGTCAACGACGACCTGCCCCGACGGCCGCGGCTGCGGCCCCGAACTACTGCCACCGCCGTCCGGTAGGATACCGTAATTGTGCAGCGGCTGGCCGGGAGCGCAACCGCGCCCATCCTCCGTGAGTCGCGGAAGCGTCGCGGTCCCCGAGTTCCGGAGTCCGAGAGCACCAAGGCCGCCTTTGACCGCAGGGCTCAGCGTTCATCCCTACATTAAAGAGCTGGAGGACGAATTGTGAGTTACAATTTGTGACTGCCGAGCACGCACGTATACACAAGAACGCGTACGCACCTCGAACTCCGAGAAGTGGTTAGGGGCTCCGCGGTGGCGCGACTGGTGCGGTTTGTATGCACGCCAAGTTCTAGCTGAAATGCGCCTCCGTCTCCTCCCTACAACTCAGCCACCTCCAAAATCCAGAAACGCGGCGCGCGCAGATCTGGATTCTGGGGTAAACGCGTGCCCGCCGACTAGCGTTCGGGTGTGCTGCGCGGGCAGAGCCACCACCCCCGCCGCGCTCCTGGCACCACTACCTTACCTGATCGAGATTCGCCTCCGTAGATTCAGCTCCGGGCGCGCTAGAGCCAGGGGCACCACCGTTGCGCCAGCGAGTAGGCTCTGCGCGTGTTCGTGGCGCAGCGGCCGTAGCGCAGAACGTGCGCCGTGGAAGAGCGAAGAAACAAGGCGCAGTCGGACGCGGCGGGGGCCCGAGTGTGCTCGCCCGGCGGTTGTGCACTGGCGATTTGGAATTCGAATAGAGGTGTGTATGGACTGTTGGGGCCCTGTCCGGCTTCGAGGAGTGTATGCTTCGGCGTGTGGGGGCCCGCGTGCTTGGCAGGCCTCCGCGAGCTGTCGATCGCACGGAATTGCGGTGGATCAGCCCAACCATGCGCAACTTAGGAACACCTGCAAAGTCTAACGCAAGCAAGTTTGCAACTGCAATCAAGCAGATCACGCTGAAGATGAGGCGAGAGAAAACCGCGGATGATATTGGAGACTGGAGTGAGTACGACGAGAAGGAGGAGCGTATTGCATGTGTAGCAGGCTAGAGTACAGAGTGGATGGATGCGTGATCGGGGCGTGAGCGGTCGATGCGTGAAGTAAACCAAGCGATATTCGACAGGTGTGTGTGTGTGGAAACAAGAGACTTGAATGTAAAGAGCGGAAGTGGGGCGCGCGCGGCATTGTCCCTCGCGGGACCCCGGGATGACTATCGTATTCGTACACCGCGGCAAGCGAGAACCAGCAGACGGTGAGAGTGATCAAGTGGTAGGAGGGATGGAAATGGGTAGTGGGAGCGGGCCGTTTTGCGAAAATGGCGCGATGCGATAGGGGGATTGCGGGTGGAAGGGCGAAGGCGATGACTTGTGTGAGAAGTGATGCAGATGGTGGAGGGGGGCGAGATTGCGAGGGAGACGGGAGCGGGGGGCGAGCGAGCGATAACGAGACGACGGACAATTCTATGGCTGTGGTAAGCAACACCGGGAGACGAGACGCGGCCACGCCGTGGTCCGTGTATATGTGCGTGCGACGCGCTCGTGCCTGGGAGAACATGTGCAGATGGGGAGGGGAGGGGAGAAATGGATAAGCAATGAGACGTGGCGCAGGCCACCGTCCATAGGGTGAATGTACAAGGGGTAGGGGTTGGACCAGGCGCGAGCGCATCGCTCGCGGGCATCGACCGGTCGCATTTTCGGGTTGAGGGGTGGGGGGTTTTGCGGGCAAGAAAGCGTTATGGTTAGGCGTACAACAATCAAGGGGCAGATAGGAATAGATAGTGCCGCGCCGAACGGCTCTAGGAGCCGTGCATGCTGCGTCGCGCGTTATCCGCGCAGGCGTGTCGTGTGCGTACAGCGGCGGCGGCCAATATTCAGATCCGGGGCGGGGTGGGGGGATTGGGGGAGGGTAGGCGGAGACGAGAGGAGGGGATGTTGCATACAAGAAGACGAGTCCGAGCAGGAAATAAGTTAAGCAAGTCGAGGTTGAGCTCGTCGGGCTTCACATGACGCGCGACGTGGGTATCGAGGAGCTCCGCGTTGGGCGAAACGCCAGCGTTGCGGCGTTATGGCCCGGCGCGGTAGTGCGGAATTACTGCATTCGTGCTGTAAGAGACGGGCGTCAGCACTCGGACCATGGCAGATAAGTGGCAATGGCGGCGGGAGGGAGCGACGAAGACGTAAAGAAAGGCGACGCGGGGCAGCTGCACGGCGCCCTCTTTGACTTTTGTGTGAACGGGAGAAGAGGTCGGCTCGGATCCTCTCCTCGACGTCATGCAGCTGCCCGCTTTTTACCCCGCGTCGCCCTCTCGTCTACCCCGCTCGACTCCCCACCCCATCATCCACTTCGACAAAGAATGAGCTACTCACCTCCAACCATGCCCGCGTCAGGCAACCCAAAGCTAAACCCCGGGAAACCGTATCCCGACCCCGCCCCAAACCCCACCTTCGGCGTCGTGTTTCCACTCCCCGCCGCCATCGCGTCGAGCGCCGCCGCCGCCGCCGCCGACGCAATACGCGGGCTCGGGCTGCCCGAAGGAGAGGCATGTCCGCCGCTGGCCGGGGCCGGCGGCGCACTCTGCGCGAAGCACCATTGCCGCAAGAGCGCGGCGTAGCTCGGGTCGCTCGTGTCCACCCGCGCGTTGGCGTTGGCCGACGTACCGGGCGAAGCGTTCAATCCGAGCTCGCGCACCGCCGTGCTCAATGCTGCAGCGGCCTTGCGCTCCTCCTCGTTCACCACTGGCGCGGGAGATTCTGAGCGGACGATGGGTCCCTCGAGCCCGAGAGCAGAAAGCTTGCGGGGCTCGGGGCTGCCTCGTCTGGGGCTCGCGTTGCCGCTGCCCGCAGGACTGCTGTCCTTCGACTGTGGCGGGCTCATGAGCTGCTGGAAGGGGTAGCCGTACGAGGTAGGCCTGTACGACCGTGCCTGTGCGGCAAGTGCGGCAGGCGACGGGCCCGGTATCGACGCAAGCGTGGATGCAGCGGGGGGAGTCGATGATGAAGCACTGGGCGAGGAGGGACCTGCCCACGACGACGGCGCAGGGCCGTGGAAGTCGGGTAAGCTCGCAGGCTGAACTGGAATGGAAGTAGTGGCGGGGTGCTCGTCGCTCTTGGGCTTATCTTCCGCGGGTGGACTCGGCTTAGGCTCGTCCGCGCTCATTCCCGCCTCGGTGGGCAGGCTCGCACTCCGCATACGTACGGTGCCCGGAGGGGTGATCGGCGGGGTGACCATGGCGGACGAGGTGGAAGGTGCGACATAGTTGCTCAAAGACAGCTTCTTCGAGAGATACGCTGCGGTGGGTGAGCCGAGCCCGTGCTCACTCATCTTCTGGCGGTCGCCCTGCTCGCGCTCCTTCCACTGACCCTGCACCTCGTTGAACGAGGGCGACATGGCCGGGAAGGGAGACGATAAGCTGCGGGTGAGCTGAGGCGCCAAGGGCATGGCCATCTGCCGTGAAGGAACAAACGGTAGAGGGACCGAGCCCGTTGTCGGGGTCGTCTTCAACGTACTCGGGGCGCTGAAGGTGCGTTGTTGCGAGTGAACCATGCCGAGCGACGACAGCGAAGGCGACGGAAGCGGCGACGCAGATGCGCGCCGGAATCCGACCCGGTAGTTCCTATCGTCGTTGTTGTCCCACCACTCGCCGCCGCAGCCGGGGTTGTACCGCACGACGAGGTACAGCGTCCGGTCGGCGAGCTTCGCCTCGTAGTCCTCTAACCGGATGGTGAAGCTGTTCGGGGACAATCAGATTTGAATATCCGTCCGGTATAGCGAGCGACGATCCGCACGTACCTGAAGCGATCCCAGCTCGGGCCGGCTGCCTCCTTCTCGTCGTCGGAGTTGCCGCTCGCGATGTTCGCCGCGACGTCGCCCATCGTGCGTGCGCGCGGGAACGGCGGGGGGAGCCCGGGGAGGCTCACGACGTGCTTGCAGAGCACCTCGCTGGTGGTCTGCCAGTCGTCGAGCGTGAAGCGCACCGCCACCACCTTCTCGAAGGAAATATTCCGGACGAGGACCGTGCCTCTGAGCGTCGGCGGGCGCGTGCGGGGGAGCGCGAGGGTCTCGAGGAGCACGTTCGCGTACGGGGACGGGTTCGTCTTCGGGATCGGATGCGACCGGTCGGGGCTCGGGTCGATCTCATGCATTATCGCAGCGGGAGCGACCGTGAGAGGAGAGGACGGGAGGAGTGGGAAGGGGAAGGAGCTCTCTGCCTCGGTCTCAGTCTCGGTCTCCTCACCTGGGGGCTTGGAGAGCGACGCGGGCTTGCCCGTCCGGTTGTACACGCGCACGGTCTCGAGTCCCGAGTCCTTCTCGGCGAAGTGCACATTCTTGTTGGTGTTCGGCGTCGCAGGCGCGGACTGGGTCCGAATGTGTTTCACCGGAAGATCAAGAATGTTCGGGGTCGAAGCGGAAGACTTGAGAGAAGACTTTAACGGCTTGCCGTTGGAAAGGATGATTGGTGTCGACGGTGTGCGGGGGAGGGATGGGGAGGATGGCTTGGAGGAGAAGCGGAAAGAGTTGTTGAAAAATGGAGAGGCACCGCTGGAAGGGGAAATGGGAGAAGAGGTTGGGAAAGGAACAGAAGTCGGCGGCTCGAGCGGGGGGATGTCTATACGAGAGGGCGGGTCTATTGAAGGCGAGAACTTGCCGGCGTTCATAGACAGGCGGAGGGAGTTGATGGGGGAGTAGGGGCTCGTATAGGTGGGATATGTGGGTCTCGGCTCGTCGTCGTTGGCGTTATCGTCGTCATTGTCGTTGTTGAGGTGGAAGACGGCCTTCTTGTTGAGGCGGGGGAGCTGGCCGAGGGGGGCGAACGCGCCGGGACCACGCTCGTCGGAGAAGTTGGAGGCGGAGCGGGTGCGACGGTGGGAGGAGGGGCGGGTCGCGGTCGCGGTCGAACCAGCGTCGGAGGGGCCGGCGTAGGGCATCGCTGAGGAGGAGGGGGCGGGTGGTTGGATAAGATGAAGAGATTGGAGGAGGGGGTGTTATATCAAGAGCGCATTCCACGCCCGGAGAGGGGGAGTGAGGGGCGCGAGGGCCGGACGCGGTCCAAGTTAAGAGGGCGCGGTCGCCAGAGTCTAGTCCTCCGCGCTTTGTTTCTTCTCCTAGCCAGATTCGGACGTGATGTCATCCATCTCCTCCTCCCGCCCACACACAACGCTCTCCTCTCCGCACGCGTTCCATATCCATATCCTATCCGCTCTCCGTCGCCCACACCGCCGCGCCCATCCCGCGCCCGCCCCGAATGCAGCCTCCCCCGCCCGCGCCCGCGCCCACGCCGCCAGCGTGCCCCTCACCGCATTCGCCCGCCCAACTGAATACACCTCCCGTTCTGGTCGCTCCCACTCCACTCACGTTCCAGGTCCGACCTCCTATCGCCTCCAGCGCACAGCCAGATAACCGGCAATCTCGCCATCCCCTCCGTCACTTCCCACTGCTCCCAGCCCATTTCTTCCACCTCTTCCTTTCCCACTCGCGCCCACCGCTCCCTCCGCTCTCGCCGCACCCCTCCAACAATCCTCCGATTCTTCGACACATCAACCAGCCCTGATCCCCTTCTTGGCTTTCCCATCTACCGACCGCTTCTTCTGTGCTCTCTTCGCCCCGGTTCCCCGCGCCCTGCCTGCCCAACTGAGCCACCGAATCTAATTCATCTCGCTCCACCCGTCCATCCCCCCGGCACCCTCGCAGTCTCCTCCCAGCCCGTCTCTTCCAATGGCGTGCTGCGTCGCGGCCGTCCGCGACATCTCTGAGCCCTCCCATCGAACGCTCTTCACCATCTCCGCATGGTCTTTCCCCGCCCAAGCCTGCCCCGCCCCCCACCCTCGGACGCACCTCTCTCCCGCCCCGCCCCCGCGCCAAAAACGCCAGGCAGCCGGGACAGATGCGCCAGGCGCGCGCTGGCGCCCACGTTGGCGGTCTGACACACGGTTCCGCATCGGCCGCCCAGATCTTCGCTCCAATTCTGATCGAGGCTCGGCGCCAACACCCAGATTGACTGAATGCCGATTCGCGATCAATTGAACGGCGTCTGTTTGTTTGTTTGCTGACCGGTCACACTGTGACCTGCCGACCCTGATTTAGCGTCACTGTGCCGCGTATTTTTGTGGCTCGGCACGTCGCGTTACGTACGCGTCTGATCTCAGACGCAACTCCGACCCGCCCGGGTTCGCACGGCGTCTGCGCGTCGCGTCGCGCTCGTGGTTCGAGTTTGCGCGCAATCGCTTGCAATTGCCGTACGATGTGGCCTGTACTGGTTTATCTGGTCCACCATACGTACCTTCGAATGTCTTTCTGGCTTGACTTCGCTGCATGTACATAACCTCTGGACACAACGCTATCTCGAACTTTCGCCTTGGGTGCCAGCTCATGGATACGACCGTTCGAATCGAACTGCAATGTGGCTTCTGCACGGAGTTCTCGCGTTCTCGTCGCATTGCTTCCACGGCATGATGTGCGCCGCCGCTACCTACGCGTATGAATGTGTTCCTGGGGTCTCGCCGCTCTCTCCCTGTGCTCCCGTCGCCCTCGCACCACTTCTCTGCCATGGTCGCTGGCTCTGGGCGCCCTCTGGCCTCCATCGCACATCTGTCGCCCAGCCGCGCGTATCATTGGCATCCAAGTACCCTCCGACGTTGGCAGGTCCAGTGCCTGTCCTCCATATTTGCCGCGCCTGTTGAGATTTCGCTCGTCCGGCAGGATCACTCGCACACAGTCGCCGGCTTGCGAAAAGGCACGCATCAGACTCCTCGCGCACGCTGGACGCTGGGTTGACGTGCGCAGTCACACACCATCTCTGCGGACGTCTACCACAGCTGATCCGCATCCCCATTCCACCGTATTCACCTCGCCAATGCATAGGCGCCACCCATATCCACACCGCGCCGTCGAAACCCCTGATCGACCGCCCACGCCTCTCTATCCACTGGGTGAATTGAGGAAGCCGGGCAGACACTTGCAGCCAAGATGACACCGACCCTTGTCTGCGGCTGCCAATGTCAGCTCAATTCCATACCGACCGATCCCCCCTTGAGCGCCCTCCGCCCGCGTCCCCTGTCTGTGCGCGCACGCCGTCTGATCATCGCCCCATCGCGGCCTATCGCGTACAGGAGCAGCCCCCCGAAGCCGAAGCCCCTCGGCCGCCGCGCTTCTGAGCTTCGACGCGCCACCGCGTTGCGCACGGTGCATGCGGGTGTGGTTATTCGAATGCCTCTTTACGTTTCGCGGCGGCGGGAGATGGGCGGCTAGGGTCAGCCCGACGAGGCCGCTGGAATTCCTGATGCGGTGGGCTGGCCACAGTTCACTCATCCTTGTTCCACAATGTACGCCCGTTTCAGGGGCGGTGTGTACTTACGAGTACGTACAGGCGGGGGTATTGCGATCGGCATAGGTGAGTACTAAATACCTCTATAATTGCATGTGACGAGCTCGGCACGGGATCTTCGCGCGCGAGCTTCACCAATGGCGAAGTACCCTAGAGAGCCAAACTTAGGTTCACGTCCAACCACTTGTACTCATATAGGAACACGGCGGTCGCCTGCTGGAAACTCCGCCGAGGAAACGGCGCTGCCATGCCATCGTGCCGTCAACCTGTGCACTCGCAACATCACCTTCGCCCCCTTCGCGCAGTGACACAAGCCTTCCTCGTCTCCTTCACCTGCGCTTACGCCTCAGGTGGGTGGCCCAGTTTGTCATGCGAGCCCTTCTGGCGCGAGCTTCTTCCTCAGCCGCCCGTGCAGCGTGATGTTCTCGCGCGATGTGGATCTGATCCCCTGATCCCCATTGCGCAAGCAGCAGTCCCGAGGGTCCTCAAGCAGGGCTATGACATGTCAATTGCGCAACACAATGTCGTGGACGCCAACGAACCGCAGGGCGAGACCCCCGCTGCAGGGTCCCCCTGATGTGCCAAACCACAGGCGCGAGCGCAGCGCAGCGCCATGGACCGTCCCCCTCGATCGGCGTGCGCACTAGCTCACACTTTACGTACGGCCTGCGCGCATCGCGGTTCTCGACGCTCTCCCGCTGCTCTGCGGCTCTCACTGGGTGGAGTGGCTCGGCGTCTCGCGCTCGGCTGTCCGCTCGCCGCCCTTCGAGCGTGCTGCGTGCGGGCACCCGTGAGCTTGAGCGTTCGAGAAGGTGCGCCGTGATGTGGCCGCCGCACGCACGAGGAGTATTATTGGGACAATTGTGTCCTGTGGAACACGAAGGTGCGTTCCTTCGACCACTGTATCCGCGTTACTCAGTCTCGAGACTAAGGCCTGAAGCCTATCGCAGGACAGGAAGTTTGCCATTGACTCTGCGAGCGACTCAGCGACGCGTCGATGACGATGCGGCTGTTTCATGATACAAGATGAGCGCGGTCACTAATCCGGAGCATGACATATACCCGACGAGTGCGCTCTCGCGCCCTCTCGCACATTCGTCTAGTGCCACAGCCTGGGCTTCTGGTCGTGCGCCTCGTCCTGCGCGCTACGAGCCCTGTTCAGCTGAGCACTGTCTCCCGACGCCCTCCGACGCCCTCTTCACAACGCATGCTAGTTGCACACGACCCAGGACCCCGACTTCCCCAGACCACGGCGCAGCGCAGCCAAGCCGATCCCCACAACCCAGGGCGACAGCACCTTACGACCAGACTGCCCCTTCGGCAGGCGAGACGCTTCCCACTCTCCTCGCGCATCGGACTTCCCAGACAGTGTCACACCTCCCCTGCGACACGCCACGCGACCCGCTCGCGCGATCCATCTGACCCTGCGCTGGGAGCTGGATCTGGACGCACGCACGCCGTCCTCCTGGGTGCCCTTCCCGGCCAGTGTGTCATCGATCAAGGCACCCGCAATCTCATATACTGGCCCACAGTGCTTCTCTCGCGTCTCCTCGCGTCCCCGGACTCGATGCCCACGAATGGAATGGCCACAGTTGCCAGTTCGTCAGTTGCTTCCCATCCTGGACCCCTGCCGCCGGCTCGCACACATCAGGCCACCGCTCCCCAACATGCCCACGACCTAAAGAGACCACAATGCCACACTTCGCCATGGCCCAGGCCGTCGGTCCACGTACAATGTGACAGTGTCCGAGGCGCGCCTGCGCTACACGCGCGGGTCCGCTGACTGCTCCGTGCGGACGAGCGGGCGCTCCGAGCCACGAGGCGCGACCCGTGTCCGTCCAATGGCAGCCACGGCGACGGCGCTGCTCCCAGCATCGGCGTTGTGACCTGCTCCCGGACGTTATGACGCTGCAGTGTGCACGCCCCGGAGCGGTGGTTCGTGCCCTGCCACACAACCGTTGGGGTTGGGGCCGTCATGGCAGTCGGAGTTATACTCGGATGGGCGTAGAGAAGGCTGGCCCGCTCGGAGGTAAGACGAGGCTTCGCGTGCCACAGTTGCTCGGGGGACGTGCTGGGATCAGGTTCTGCGCGCGGGCTTCTGTACGTCACCGACCGGCTTCTGCGTGTGCGTTAGGCGGCGGGGTGGGCTGCGCGGGCTTCGACGTTTCGTCCCCTTGAACGCCTCGGGCTTGCGGTGTCTAGGCCCCCTCGCGGGCGCACACCGGCCCTCCGACACTCGTCGACGGCCACTAGAACATTTGGCCAGATATTCTAGCTGCGAGTTGTGCTCGCTATTGCCAGCGGACATAGACATGCGCGCGGACATTCGACGGCCGCCTCACCTGTGGCCTGCCCACTATAGTGATTGGCCACAGTTCCCACCCACGGCCGGAGTTTCGACAGCTATCGTACCCACCCATAGCCGAGGCCGCCTTCTTGTTACTCGGCCTAAGTGGCTAGGCGCCGACCAGCGGGTGAGCAGCGCACGGAGCGCTCAGCGTCGCGCCGTCGACGGACGAACGGACGTCGGACCACGCACTGCGTCAGTCTGACTAGCGTTCCTCCTGCGTTCCGTTCCAGGCCACCACCACGGTAACGCCGCCCACGATGCGCGGTTCTTCGCAGCGCCCGACGCGTTTGACAGGCATATCGCCCCTTGGAAGCTGGGGTCCCAGCGTGCCACTGCCGGAGAGATTGACACCGAGGGCGAGACCATGATTGTAGGCGCACAGATTGTGGACGCGCTGGGACGCCGCGATGGCAATGGTGAGCGGCTTCCCACTTGCGCCTGCGCACGCTCTCACATTATCTCCGCACGCTCATCCGCAACCTCCGCTTTGTATTTCGTCGCACGCCCGTCAAACGCTATAATACACGACCCGCACGCTCGAAGCCAGCGGTATTTCAGTGCGTCATCTTCGCGGTAATCAGTTACTGCGACGGAATTTTTACTGACCGCATTGCGCGGGTTATCAGTTATAGAGTGCAGTGGCGTTAGGTGATCAATCGGCGGACGCTGCACACGGTCTGCATTGGCCGCGACAACGCTTACTGGCTGCAGTCAATGTCGCCGTATGCGTCTGTCATTTCGATGCCTGCGTGAACATTTTCCAACGGGCTGCCTGCTAGCGCTCCGACCGTTACGGCGTGCACGCGGCTCATGCGGCGCTGTTTACCAGATGGGGCAACGCGCCCACTCAGCTGAAAAGCGGTGAACGCCAAAATGTATCTTTCACCCGCGCTCACTGTCAGGGTCCCACGCGCCGACGTCCTTTGGAATTTCCTGTTTCGTGGGGTGTACATATGTGACGGCGCCCTCCGCGTGCTATTGACGTACCCGCAGTCAGCGAAAGATACTCGACATTGGGCGTTCCTACCTGGGCTGTGCTCCTGATCATCTTGTCGGCCCCTGGTACGTCCGAAAGTCCCGCTACTGGAATTGGGCTGAAGCTCCCAGGGTTCGATAGGCGACTCTGTTCTCTGGAGCGAGAGTGGTTGTAGTTCATGTCGCCACCACCCTGGAAGACGGCAGGGAGTCCCTCTTGGCATAGATTGTACAGGTTTGGCTGCTCTGTAGCCTGAAATGTTCTATATCTTTGCTCCAAGGTGGGAGTAGATGTCTTCGCAGGTCGAGGACGGCGTTATGGCTGCTAAATCGACTCGTCAGCACCACGATCGAGAGAAAAGTCCCCCGCCCTATCGTACGTACTCGAACGGCCTGGCCTTGTACGTGTTCTCCATCTATCTTCGCTGCGACGCGGGAATACTCAGAAGGAGCGGTGGACTACAGGAATAGCGACACGGCGTCCGAATGCGGAAGATGGGTGCGCTGAGCGCCCTCGGCGGATTCCGTACCAGCGGGACCCCGGAGGCGCCCCCTGCATCCCTCCTCGACGTCGTCGGCGCGGAGTTCGTCCTCTTGTCACGCCTCCAAATCCGTCCATGCTCGAATTCGCACCATCATGAGCAGCGATCAGGTCCCGGAGATGCCCAAGGGCTTCCTGGGAGCTACGGGCCCGCAACCGACGCGGGTTCGGAGGTGCGCCTCCGCGTTCCGTAGCGTGTACCTCCGCTGCTGATCTTTGTTTTTGGATATAAGGGACGCCCTCCGACGGCTCCTTCGAGGGTGCTCGGACGCCCCTCGCGTCGCCTATGCCCCGCCGTAAAGCATTGTCGTGTTTTACGTTCCACTTCGCGTCGATAACGGTACATACCTCCGGTGTTTAAGTGGCGGTGCCGTACACCTCGTAGTAATGTCGGCTGTCTAGAACACGGTACGTCCTGTATTTCGCCATCGTCGATCTTTCTTTTAAAGCGCGCGTCTGATCTGTCACTAGCAGAAGCAAGTCCGGTCGCTAAGTGAACACGCATGGCCGCTGTGCACCGCGCTCGGAGGCAGGGACGGGCTCCGGACAGCGGCGCATGCGCTTGCCACGCAGCACAACGCGCATCTGTCCGGCACATTGCACTCGCGTGTGCCGGTGCTGACGACATACAGCACCTTGCCGACGATCAAGCGTGTCGTTCCTAGTCCGCGAGGGTCATCGAGCATCTTCAAGGATATCGGGAGACGATCCCGCAGACTATAATGCGGGGGTAAGGTCGCGGGGCACCCCCGATTCACGAAGCCAGATCTATGAGCTGTGCTAGAAAACACTGTGCGGCAAGCTGCGGAGCACACCTCAGGGGTGCGGAGGAATGAGAATTTGCTAGAGCTATCGCTCTCACTTCACCGTGCGTTTCTGTACCTGCCGTGCGTTTCCTTGTACTTGGTGGCGCATCTTTCGAACTCGTATATTCACGTAACTCTATGAACAGAACCTTGAACAGGTCAAATTTTCACGTCTAAAACGCCAACGAGAACGCTCCACGCACGTTCCTGCGGTGCATATTCGGCCTGTCTCGACGGGGTCCGCACCGACTCCCGGTGGCCTGTGCGGTACACGCCTGCTTCTCACCGATTTTCCCGAAAAATGCACAGGGAGGGCGCGGATCCCCCGAAATGGATCGGTATGCTAATTCTTATTCGTCTGCTGGCTATTCTGGCGTCATAGCTGGGAACTTTGAGCTAATGATCAATTGAAGCATTTCGGCAAGCATCGCTTACCCTGAGCTAAACGACGACGATAACGGTGCGACGAAGCTTATACGGCGCGCAGCGCTCACTATCACCGCTACGCCTTGCGTAAAGATTGCGAGGTGTTGCCGGCTACAGTGCCCATTAGCAAACGCACCGATAGCGCGATGATGAGCACACCCGCTCGCATCGCGCACCCTCGGAAAGGCGGGACGACATGCGGGGGCCTCTGGACAATGGGACAGTGCGCCCTCGCAGGACTTGGATCAACAACGGTCAACTACTCACCTTATCGCACCGACGATCCACCCAGGAAGGCAACGGACCGTTCGCCCGCCCCCGCGCGAGCTCGTCGGCGATGCACCGTGGCGGCGTGCCTGGCCGTTGGCGGGCGCGCCCTCCCCGATATGGCTGATGGCCTCGAAAGTTGGAGGCCTCTCCCCGGCATCCGGGAGATGGCCCCGCGATGTCCCCAGGTCGCGAGGAGATAACCGTCCGCCGGGTCGCCGGCGCTCGAAAAGTTTCATGCCCTGATGTCTTCGGTGCGCCTTCCGTGCTTCCTTCAATTGCCTAGGCTCCTCTCTGTCGGGTCGCGTTCTCTCCAAAGGTCCACCGCGGGGTGGCGAAGGGCGTCGCTGGCCTCCAGTGATAGGGAGAACTCTGCGGGGGCAATCACGGGGCGCTCTGTCTCAGCCCAAGACGGGCCATCCTTGTCCTAGCTGAAGGTAGCTATGCGATCGAACTTGACCGTCGCTGTCTTCCCAGCGTCATGCCGTCGCTGATGCAGGACCATACGTGTCCCTGATCGTGCTCAAGAATATCACAAGAGTATCACTCTGCCTCGTTATCGTGCCCTTCAGTTCCATTAACTCACAGCTCTGCAGCCGGTAATTTCTCAGCATTGTGCGACCAGTGCGGTAACGAATTCTCCGTCGGACGTACCAAGACGACTAGAAGATACGCTCTGGAGATAGAAACCCTCTAGAAGTAGGTGGTTTCGCAAGGTCCGTGAACTGTGGCGCTACTGGTGGCTCCTTCGAATTTTGAAGCACTTCTTTCTCTAGTCGCAGTGATACTTGGAGCAAGTGATAGAATAGGCGGGCGGATCCTCTCTCAGTAATCCACCAACAAGGCTCCGTATGTGCTCCAAATCTCCAAGTTATCATATTGTGCAGCTCTCGGACGCCCCGGAGCATCCACCGTTGACATTAACTTCTCCCAGCGTGATAAATATCTACTTTTTGTCGGCAGGCTTCGCGAACCGCTTGACCCACTTGATAGCGACGAACTCCTGAACACCAACGTCAAGTCAGATACGACACAATGCTAGCGGCAAAACGCCGTCGGCACTTGCCTCTGGGTAGCTAACGTCAAAACTTGGCCGCTCCTTATTGATGCGCATGTACTCCCTTAGGCGTTCGAAGCGCGGCGCGGCGAGCTCCTGTGTGAGCTTGCCGCCGTCGACATCCCGAAAGTACCCGCGCCCTGTCTTCGCGACGATGCCCACGGCGGCAACCATCGGCACAAACGCTGCGTCCGCGATCGACCAGTCCCCAACAACGTATCCCGTCGGCGGGAGCTCGTTCTGCAGCTCCACCAGAAGCTCCAGCACCTCGGCGCCGCCGTCCTTGTCAAAGAGGAGCGCGAGGAAGGCGCTCTGGAACTTCTCGTCTAGCTTGCGGATGAAGAGGCGTGCCTTGGCGCGGAGGACGGGGTCGCGCGGGAGAAGGTTGGCGTTGGGGTGGAGGTCGGCGACGAACTCGAGGAGCACCAATGATTCTGCGATTTTCGCGGATTCGGGTGTAGGCTTCTCGGGTGGCGCATCGGGGCTGCTCCTATACACGATCGTCGGTACCTGGTCGCGCGAGCAGGCTGTCAATTCTGGCCTCGGAGGAGCGAGGTTGAATTGTGGAGTGCTGATGCTAACCTTGCCCGCAGAGTTTACATTGTCGAAGAACCACTGTGGTCTCTCGTCGAGATCAAAGAAGACTGTATGATAGTCGGCCTGAGCCTCCTCCAATGCGAGGCGAACCTATGCGGGTATTTTAACACATTCAACGGGAGATGACCGCGAAAATGACCTTGACTTACTCGGGCGACGAACGGTGAGTGCTGCATTGCACGCAGATATGCCTATCATCAGCTGACCGATGCCGTCACCGACATTTTGGCAGCATACCGGAGAACCGTAAAGCGCGATACGCTGCGGCGTGGTGGTCATACTCAGATCAGGGGATGCTACTGGTGATCAACGGCAGTACCAAGGCGGCGGCAAGTACGGGGATCACTCTGTCCTCGGCTTCATCTTTATACACTGCGAGTCTCGGCTTATACAGAAGGACGTGAATGAGCCCGGATGCCCGAGGGATTTGAGTCAGCAATACTCACGGTGAGTACTCGTTTTCTCCATTTTAACCAGCTTCCGGACCTCGCTAATCTAGCTTTATGTCCGCCACCACGACGTTGTTGGTCGACGGCCGGGTATGCATGGCAACGTCTGTCTGCGTTAACTGACACGGACGGTCATGATGCTACGAGAGAATTCGGGTTCAGAAGGACCTCAAGTTCGAGTGTATGTGTTATTAGATCTTTCGTCGTGTCTCCGTCTCCATTTTTGACATGAAACGTAACGCAGACTCGACACTGCTTCTCCTGTGTGGTGCTAAGTATGTGAAAACAAAACGAAAGGGCCAAAAATGGACGTTGGGGGGCTTGAACCCTCGACCTCACGCAATCTTGAATGCAAAGCGTGCGCGCTACCACTGTGCCAAACGCCCGATGAGAATTGTTTCTCTCATAGAATCCTATGCCTTGCGAGCTTTTTGTCCGGCCTTTGTACTTGACTATCCGACGATGAAAGCTCAAATTCAGACAAAGATCATGAATAAGGCAACATGGGAACAATATGCCCTCCGTTAATATTGCTAGTAAGTAGTGCTTCAACATCCGAACAAGGAGAGCTGATCAAACACATCCCAAGTACCCACCACGCCGCCACGGCACCAACTTTGTCGCCGCGGATGACCTCCCCTGCAGTTCTATGAAGCCATAGCCGCTAGGATCGCCTGGGTGTTTACCCCGGGGAACATCTCAAAGTCTGTGTCCACCTCGCACATCGTGTCGTTGCCATCTGGAAGCTATAAAGGTGTACAAAGTGATCAATCCCAGGGAACAGCGGTGAGGCGGCCAAGAGTGACCCACCGTGTTGGTCGTGAAGTACAAAAACATGAGGCTGTTGAGGCACTGAGACGGCTCCGAGACAGACGTATGCTGCCGGACAAACGACGGGCCCGGGATCAGCAACGACACAAATTGGCGCTACAATGATTGCAATGCTCACCCCAAACGCGTGCTGCTGGATAAGCGTAGCACTGTCGCCCAAGAACCCGACCACCGCCTCAGCTTCGGGAAGAGGGGTACGAGGATCGAACTACATAGATAGTATGAGTCGAAGTCCTCCGCAGGTAGAAGGGGATCAGAGTACATACCGTGTTACCAACGACCATCACCTTGTTAGCCAGCGTCTTGTTGAACGGCCCCGAGTACCGCTCCACGGCGCGCACCGGCCAGAACGGACACGTGTAGAACGAAGTAGGCCACCCCGCGCTGACTGTATCATCATGTTTAGTGAACACAGAGAGATACGAGGAGAGGAAGGTGAACGAACACATCTCGGAGGTGTTGCGCGAAGCAGAGATGATGATCTCGAACACATCCGTCATGTTGGTCCCACGGGGGTCAATGCTGTCTCCGCACAGGATCGCCTCCTCCGTAAAAGAACGCGTCTCGTTCTGCTGGAACTCGCTGCCCCTACATGCCCATATAAGTCGATCCTCTCCGTAATGATGGTAAACGGGCACGTACTGGCGTCGGACAGAACGCATACCACGGGGGGCGAGATATTGTTGGGCGTCAGACTCCGCCGCTACGCCCGCGACGAGTGTAGGCCACGTCGTGTTCGCGAAGCTCGCAGCCTCGGCAGGGGCTTGCATTACCGCAAACAAAGCTTCTGCATGTTAAAATGTCACATTAGCACTGTGTCACTGCACCGGATAACCAAGCTACATACGGCGGATGCTGGCCGATGTTACCGGGACAGAGGCGTCCTTGCGTGCGGCATCATGCGCCTGCTGGAGAACGGCTTGAATAGTTGTGTCGATGTCCGCTGCGGTATGTCCCTCAGCGGAGGAGATCGAACAGCCCTGGGGGCCGGCGAGCGCGCAGCCGGTGATGAAGCCTGCGTAGGCCTTGTCGGCGTCGGCGAGCTGGTGGAATGCCCACATCTAAAAATACAAGACCGGGTCATTATCATACATATATAAGGAAAGCAGATGGGGGCTTACGGGCGGAGTCTCTTGGTTTGCAAGCAGCGTCGGATCGATGATACCGTCGATGATGACTTGTCCGGCACGCTAAGCCGTCAAAGACGCGTGAGCATTGCTGAGAAAGGCCGTACAATCTCCTCACCTCAGGGAACACTAAAAAACCAGAGCTCACTTAGCTCAACATCGGACAGGATACAAGGACGTGCTCACTGTTCACAAGCCACTGGCCCAGGAGCGACCCATACGACGACCCGAAATAATTCACCGAGCTCCCAGGCCCGTCCAGCGCGTCCGCCATCGCAACAACATCGCGCGCCGTCGCCGCCGTCCCCACATACGGCAAGAACCGCCCGCTCGGATGCTGCAGGCAGCGCCGCCCGAGCTCCTCGTACTTCGCCTGCATACCTGGGGCCTGCGCGAGCAGCGCGCGCACGTCGTCGGGGTCGGAGAAGGTCCCCGTCATCTCGATGCCCGTGAGCTCGATGGTCCCATGAAAGAACGCGTCGTACTCGGCGGGGCTGTCGAAGCAGAAGATGTCTCCGGGTCTGAGAAGACCCGCAATGAGTGAGTAGCGGTATGACTCCGAGTCGGCAGCTGCGGGCGCGCCGGGCTTACATGGTGAGCGTCCCGACCCCGCGCGGGTCCCAGCTGACGATGTCAAAGAGCCCGCCCGAAAGGCTGCTGAAGAGGCTCCCCATGGTGTTCAGCGTCGCTAGCCCTGAGCCCCCTGGGCCGCCTGGAACGCAAGGTGAGCGTCGACTCCGAGGTATACGGATATGTGACATACCCGGGTTGATGAACGCGGTGCCGCGACGCTCGCCGGTCGCGTTCATCTTGGCGAGCGCAAGTCTGCCCTGCCCGGCGGAGGGATCATGGTAGTCCAGAGGGATGTCGAAGAAAGCACAGGTCAGCGCAGGGTTGGTGATCACGGCTGGGTCGCAGGGGCCCCATTCGATGCTAGTGGTGTTCGTGGTAGCATTCTGTGGTCGGTTATGAGCAAAACAAGATTGAAAGAAGTCGCGAGGCTCACCTTGGAATGATTACTATGAGCGAGTGTACTAATGAGAAGCTGAGAAGCAACCAGGGTGCTGAGTGATATTAGAGACGCCATGATGAAAGTGAAGTGAGGCCGCCAAAGGACCTTGGCCAATATTTATACCGTCAGTGCACCCAAGCGAGATATATTGCACCGCTGGAAGATGAGCAGGGTTGTTACTCTTAGACCCTGAGATGATACGTAGCATCAACCCCAAGCTGTGCCGGAACTGCCAGACGATGATCGAGTTGGAATTAGCACGATGTACCGCGGAACAGAGGACAACCCGGTGGTGCACACAGTGCAATATGACACGGACTGGGATCGTGTTCCGCGACTGGCACATGGAAGATATGGCTTGGCATCTGGCAATGTTTGTGTCGCCGCTCCCTTGCTGGTAATGCTCCATGGATGAGATTCACGTATGGAACCGCTCGCAATGACTCATCGAGAGTAAACCCCCCCGGCTCCGAGTGAAATGGGACAAAACCAACACATCGGCGGTTTATGCCGTGGTTGTGCGCTTGCCGTTCATCTGCGAGTGTAAAGTAAGGCGTGAGCGTGAATCGAGATCAACTGGTATAAGGAAATATTTATTACCTTTCGAGAATGGTAATCGGTGGCGGCGCAGGGAAACATTCTAGTAGTCAATGCATGTCGTACTCTCAACGCGCGGTGAGCTACGGAGATTTTGAAATCCTGTATTTACTAGCACGGTCAGGTAGCTAGGATATCTTTTCACAGTGTATACTTGCAGCATCTTGGAGCGCCGACGCATGTTCCTAGTCATTAGTTCGTCAAGCCGTGAATCGTGGTTTCCTTTTTCCTTCCGCCCTCCGTCCTACCGCCGCCTCCCTCCTCCCTCCCGTATATCACCCGCACCTCCCTCCCCAGCTTCCAGTTCAGCGCCTACTGGTTCTTGCCCCCGTTCACCTCCGCCGCGCCGACCCACTCGCCCGAGCGGTCTTTCTTGCGCACGGTGAAGCACGCGATGCCGAGGTACTCCGTGATGTCGTTGATCACGAGGTAGCAGAACCGCGCGTACGACACGAACGTCACCGCGAGCGTCACGTACACGAACAGCGCCGTGCGCGGCAGCGTGCTCTGGATCAGCGGCGGGCTGCAGTAACTCGTCAGAATGCTCGCCCGTAACACCAGAGGGATACAGGGAGGATTTAACGCACTAGCCGATGAGCCGCGGCAGGTTCGCGTCGACCGCGCCGACGATGCTCCACACCCACATCGCGTCCCACCACGGGAACGGCTGGCGCGTGACGTGCGCGAGGATGATGCGCGAGACCTGGTGCGCGAACTGCAGGCCCCACGCGCACAGGAACGGCACGAACAGCGCGGAGTGCAGGATGCGCGAGTCGTCGAACGCCGGCGCGCTCAGCCACGCGACCTCGAGCGCGACGGACACCGGGAACGGGAGCAGGAAGAGCAGGGGGGACAGCGGGCCCTTGCCGGACGCGGTGCGCGCGGTCCAGACGTTGATGCAGCTGTGCGGGGAGGGGGGTGGTCAGTGGGGCTGTGTGGTGGATGGGTGGGGGGAAGGGTACCTGGTGAAAATGTTGAAGGCCATGCCGAAGCCGCCGAAGACCATGAAGGCGTCGTTCAGGCCGAGCCTGGGGATGTACTGCAGCACGATAGGGTACCGGTCTAGTCTAGTGAGCGCGAGGAATTCGGTATCCCAGAATTGAGGACCTAGAGCATGCCGTTCAGTCGCGCGGCCTCAACATGCGTTTTTGGACCTACCAGTGAACCCCGTAATCGTGTAAAGCAGCACGACGGACAGAATGCCTTCCACGGGTCCCGAAAAGACACCCAAGAACAGCTGGCCTAATAACACAGGCGTCAATATGACGTGGAGTAGCATCGAGCGCCGTATCTCACCCGTGTGGTACTCTTCCCAAGTCGTGAGGTAGAAGTTGGCGAGAGTGGCGACCTGGGAGGCTACAGTCCACCATGACCGTCCAAGATTGAGTGCACGGCAGGCTAGCACAACCTCGAGCTGATGGCAAAGGATGAGTGTTTGTGTGCGACGGGATGAGGTGGATTGTGCGTACGGTCGTGTTTAGTGCATCGCAGCCGTGATCGAACATCTCGCCTAGGGGCCCTGCCATGCCCGTCCGCCGTGCTTGCTTGCTACCACGCAGTGAGGCTTAGGGGTTTTCACCAAAATGCTAAAAGGACGTACCCGTCTATAGCATCTAGGGTTTGATACAAGAAAAGGCCGGCCGCCCATCTACCCCTTGCCGTCAGTGCCACATACCGCTCACGATCGAAAAGGTCCGCGCACGTAAAGTATATCCAATTCGGAGGGCCTTCTGCACCATCCTTCTCCGTAAGATATTTGGGGTCGTAGTATAGGAGTGTAGCAAAATTTGCGAGCACGAGCGATAGGCCCGTTAAGGTGATCTGTGCGCCCGATAAATTTCACGGTTAAGCGAGCGGGGAGGATGCGTACGGTGTTGGGCGCGACCGAAGTTGGCCAGAGGGTGACGAACCAGGCCCAGAACGGCTGGAGGACATAGCGCGACACAAGCGATCTGTGCAGGAAGGGGCGGGGTGAGTGGGGCGGGGAAGAGGGGGCGGGGCGGGTGGACGGACTTGTCTACGCCCTTGTAGGAGTACTTCTTGAGATTGTCGAGCGCGTGTTGGGGGACATATCCCATCGTAGCAGAATTAGAAGAATATACACAGAGCACACACAGAAAGCAAGCAACGACTCTAGTAGCGGGAGCGCAAGGACGAAGAGCACTCCTTTACTTGCCCCTGCAGGGCCGTCATCGCGCTACGTCACGCGCACGTGCGCAGACGCGTCGATTCAGATCTCGGAGTCGGAGTCGTACCTTGCAACTCTCCGGGGGCGCTGCTGCTGCGCTCTCATGCATCCCACCACCGTCTCTCTAGGAGGATGGCTCCTTTCGTGGAATGCAGTCAGTACAACCAAAATGGAACACTATTGAGACCTCATTCATTGCCTAGAACATTGTCAAGCCTTATAAACATGGCTGAACAGTATCGAGTCCATACTCGAAGTTGACTCATTACTTTTGAGCCAAGACAAATGGTACGAGTGTCCAGTGACAATACTGCTCGTCTTGCCATCTAACAAAGATGATACATAATATAGATCAGGGGAACCCCATCAGCGCGGCGCTAGTCGTCTCGAAGATGTTGTGTCACGTAATGCCGTCGCCCGATACGGCTGTGTTGTTTCATGGCGTTCAGAATGTCTCTGCGACCCTTACTGGACACCTGCGAACTGCCAAAAGTCATGACAGATATGCGCACACCTGCGGAGCAGCCCAAGCTGAAATATTTCGCGTCTATTCTGCCTCGTCCCAGTAAGCTTCTTCACCTTCACCTCAACATGCGTAGGATGCACACTGTCTTCCGCCGTCATATCTCTCTTCTCTTGTGCTCCCTACTCTTCTCATCTTCATTTCCAGTGACAACTGCCCGCTTGGTTAACCGAACTATAGACGACGAGCTTGGCGATAGCGTTACGGGCGTGAAACCCACATACAGGCCTACCAACAACTGGGCGCAAGGATCAACCTGCACGGGCTGCTTCCTCACCCCAAACAAGGTCGTCAATGTCTCGCGGGCCTTCGACGGCACTTGGCACGACTCCACGTACACTCCGGAAACCCCGGGAAACTCGGACAACGCCATCGACGCCTCGTTCATGGGCACCGCCGTCTACGTGTACTTCATCATCCCTAACTTCGTCCAGTTCACGACCACCCTCGTGAACGTCAGCTTCTCGATCGACGGCACCTTCTATGGCCAGTACCAGCACATTCCCTACACAACCTCTACCATATTATACAATACGCTCGTGTTCCACACGACGAACCTGGCAAATACCGACCACACCATAGAGATCCGCGCGAGCGGGTCGAACGCATCCCTTATCCTGTTCGACAACATGGTCTACACCGTCGACGAAGCTGATCCCAGTTCTTCATCTCTCGGATCTACATTCACGATCGTCCCACCCACATCAAACTCTCCTGACCCATCCCCCTCCAGTGCTGCTACGGGAGCAGCGCGAGAGTTCCGGTCATCTCCGCCGATCGGTGCCATTGCGGGCGGTGTAGCGGGTGGCGTAGCCATCCTATCCTTACTATTCGTCTTATACTGTTACCTCCGCAAACGGGCCACGAAGAGGGCGAGGCAACCGGAAATATCTGTCCATACAGCCATGGCATACGTCTTTAATTCGCCAAACCCTACCCTTGAACGGCCTTCAACACATCCCGATGCGGTGAGTGTTAAGGCACTACTATGCCCTCAAAGGTTGTACATTCATATTAACATAGAATCGCACAGCAATCCTCGCACGAGATGGATATCGGCAGCCTTGCGGCATGGTCCACCATGGCATCCTACTCAATCGCTCCGATCCTCCCCCAAAGTTCCTCCCGCCCCATAGTACCTGTGAGCAAGGGGCCCGATTCGCATGAGCCTGAGGTCAGGCCTACAGAGGCCCCTCCCCAGGACCCGCTTCCGAGCTCTGACGCACACGCGGGAGGCTCGCCCAGGCGAGACCGCGCGTTGCAAGTTATTGTAGCGCTGCTTCAGGAAGAGCTCGAACGTTCGCGCCTGGAACGGCAATTGGTAGCGTCGTTCGGAGAGCTCCCGCCGCGGTACGAGGAACGAAGACGGATCAGCGGTAGCTGAAGTCGTGAGGAGACCAGGTCTTGCTAGGACTGCCGTAAGGATGATGGGGTTTGTTATAACATATAGTGAGTGCATCTGAATTGCGGACAGCGACTGAAAACTCACTGCCCTGATGTCAAGCCTTGTTAGTATACACGTCCTCTCTCAGATGCCGTATCGGATGACGTGACCGCTCAAACTATAGATCATCATTGTGTTCAGTACAACTGCGGCGACGCAGCGCTTCCAAACCCAAACCCAACTGCGAACTGCCAAGAAACTCAGTAGATATGCACAAACCGGCGTCGTAACTCCAGCCGAGCTATGTACTGAGCCCCAATCGACGTGAGCATATTCCACTCCGCTCCGAATGTCCCGTCTCCTGCATGTGCGCAGACGCGTCGATTCAGATCTCGTACCTTCCCTCCAACGCTGCGGTGTTCCGCTTGCGACCGTCTCTCTCATAACGATGGCTTCTTTCGTGTGATGCGGTGAGTGCACTTCAACTCGAGCGCCGAGCGCGACTGAAAACCGACCCTAGTGATCCTAACCGTCCTGTTTTCCAAGCCCAGGCACATACACGGCCAAACTTCATACACTGTCGAGTCCGCACTCGAACTTGGCTCCTCGATTTTTCGCAAAAACATGGGTTGGTACGCTTTCCCAGAAGTAGGACTTATCTTGAGCAAACTCGCGAGGATATTTTGGTTCAGCTGCCCTATCAGCGCGCCGGCAGACGTCTCGAGCAGGTCATACTGCCACCGAACACGGTCAGGGCGTTTAGCACGTCACCAGCGACACTCTGATGGACACCGGCCAACTGCCGTGACCTAAGCTGAGATATCTCGCCTCTATTCGGTCCCAAGGCTCGACTTCCTCACCCTCACCTCAACAATCGCACGATGTATACTATCTTCCACCGCCATATCTCTTCTCTCTTGTTCTCTCTGCTCTGTCTTCCTCACCTTCCGGAGCAGCCGCTCGCTTGGTCAACCGGACTATAGACGACGAGAATGGCGATAGCGTCACGGGCGTGAAGCCCGTATACGCGCCCAGCGGTAACCCCTCCAGCCTCTGGACACAAGGAGCCACATGTACCACGTGTAACCTGGCCGCGAATACAGTCATCGACGTCTCGCAGACCGTCGATGGCACTTGGCACGACGCCACCTACAAGGGGCCGGCGAACCCACCCTATACCATCGAGGCCTCATTTACGGGCACGGCGGTCTACGTGTACTTCATCGTCCCCAACTTCGTCCCCCGCACCACGACCTATGTGAACCTCAGCTTCTTGATCGACGACGTCTTCTACAACCAGTACGAGCACGTTCCCGACCCGAATTCCACCACTATCATGTACAACACGCTCGTCTTCCACACCACGGACTTGGTCAATACCAACCACAACATAGAAGTGCGCGCCAGCGGTTCCAAGCAATCCGTCCTCCTTTTCGACAACATGATCTACACCGTTGACGAAGCCGACCAAATTCCTGCTGCACTCGGATCCGGATCCTCAATCGCCCTAGTACCCGCCTCGACGAACTCTCCTACTCAATCTCCCCCAAGTAGTCTCCCTGGGGCGGTCCCAAAATCACAAGCGTCTCCATCTGTTAGTGCCATCGCGGGCGGTGTAGCGGGCGGTATAGCCATCCTCTCCCTAGTGCTAGGCCTATACTGCTGCCTCCGCAAACGACGTCATCGGGATCTTATGCCCTCCCGCTGGGCGAGAAAACCCCAGGGATCGCCCCATCCAGCCATGACCGACGCCTTTGACCCGCCCGTGGCTACTGCCTTTGCACGACCGCCCTTAATGCATGCTTCTATGGTGAGTTTTTTCAAACCTTATACGCTCAAGGGTGCATATGTGTATTGACATGACCCTACACAGTCATCATCGTCCGAGGAGAATACCGGCGGTGCGGGGTGGTCCAACATTGCATCTTACTCCGACATTCCGATCCTCCCTCGACCCCCATCCCCCGATCGCCTGATATCTGAGAGCAGAGGGCTCGATCCGACTGAGTCCAAGCCCAGTGCAGAGGCCCCTTCCCAGGACTCACTCCCGAGCTCTGGCACACACACGGAATCCTCGCGCAGACGAGAACCCACGATACCGATACGGGCTCTAGTGACGCTGCTCCAGGAAGAACTTGAAAGTTTGCGCGTGGAACGACAACTGGATGCGTTGTATATAGAGCCCCCGCCACATTACGAGGAATGAGGTCACCTTCGTTGCTGCAGTCGTGGGAGGGGTGTTGCTTGCGAGGATTGCCGTAAGGATGATGGGGTTTGTTATGACATGTAGTGAGTGCATCTGAATTCCGGCCACGCGACTGAAAGCTCATTGCTCTGATTGTCAAGCCTTATTAGTACAAGCGTTAGATGACGTATTGGGCAATGTTGCCGCTCAAACCATAGAGCATGATTGCGTTCAACACAACTCTGGCAATTCAGCACTCTCAAACCTAATGCGAACTGCGAACTGCCAGGAAGCGTGGTAGCTATGCTTAAACCGGTGTCTCGAGCCGAGATATGTACTGAGCCCCAATCGACGTGAGCCTATACCGCTCCGCTTCGACTGTCCCGTCTCCACCTCACCATGCGCAGGGTACATATCACCCAACGCATCTCCCCTCTGCTCTTGCTGCTGTCACTCTCCCTCGCAACCGCCCGCCTGGTCAATCGGACCATCGACGACCAGAACGGCGACAGCGTCTCGGGCGCGAAACCCACATACGGGCCTAGCATCGACCCCGCCAGCAACTGGACGCAAGGCGCAAACTGTACGAGCTGCCACCTGCTCCCAAACAAGGTCATCGACGTCTCGCAGGTCTTCGATGGCACCTGGCACGACTCCACGTACCACCCGGGAGACCCGGACCACACCGTCGACGCTGCGTTCACGGGAACCGCCGTCTACGTGTTCTTCATCGTGCCGAACTTCGTCCAGTCCACGACGACCCTGGTGAATGTTAGCTTCTCGATCGACGGCACATTCTATGGGAAGTACGAGCACATTCCGGACACCTCCTCCACCGTCTTGTACAACCAGCTCGTGTTCCACACGACAGACCTTGTCAACGCCGACCACACCATCGAGATACGCGCGAGCGGGTCCAACGCATCCCTCATCCTATTCGACAACATGATCTACACCGTCGACGAAGCCGATCCCACTTCATCGTCTCCCGGCTCCGCGATCGCAGCAGGCCCGACTGCGTTTTCAGCTGGCCCATCACCTTCAACGTCGCCCGCTGGCATAGGTGCAGCGCAAGGGTCCCGATCGTCTGCGCCGTCTGCTGGTGCGATCGCGGGTGGTGTGGTAGGCGGCTTAGTCGTTGTCTCCTTCGGGTTGGCCCTGTACTGCTGCTTCCGCCGCAAACGGCGACATCGCGATCACACTGGCAGGGTCCCGCGGTTCTTAAACTGGGCGAAGAAACCCGAGGTGGCCCTCCCCACATCCATGGATGACGCCTTCGACTCACGCTCGCCCGTGGCTACGCGTACACGACCTGTAACCCATCCCCATGTGGTGAGTGCACAGATTGTGTGCCCCCGCAGGCTGTGCCCGTGTGCTTACATATCTCCTTACAGCCATCGTTGCCCGAGGACCCCCGAAGCCACTCACGATGGTCCACCACCGCGTCGAACTCCGAAACGCTCCTCGACCACTCGCATCGTCCCCTTCCGACCCCAGAGTGCAAAGAGCCTCAGCGTGAGCCCGAGCTCGGGGCTGCGACAGCGTCTGCCCCGAGTGAGGTTCGGTCCCGCCGAGATTCCTCTCTTCCGAGCGCGAGCGTATATACAGATTCGAGCATATCTCGCGCGGGCTCGTCTACGTTGCGCGCACAGGTCGCGGTGCTGCGGGAGGAGCTAGAGCGGTTGCGGACGGAGCGGGAGACGCGGGCGCTGTTCGAGCTGCCGCTGGAGCCCCCTCCACGGTACGAGGGCTGAGGACTACTCCCGTATTGGTTTGTGATGAATTATATGATAATTAGTGAGTTGACACAATTTCAGAGTTCGATCGAAGACTTACTGTATTGTTTGTCGACTGCTGGGAACAGTGAGCGTACGACAATGTCACGCCAGAGCGGTATGCCGGAGTGTTAAGAAGCAGACATGAAAGAATGGTGTACGATAGAACCTACATGTATTTTGGTTGTTAACTACCTTCGCTTGAGGTCTGGCGCGTACTAGTGCCGCTAGTCGCGGTCTGTCCGGGACATAGCCGTAGAAATGAACGATAGCTCGATAACACTTCACGAGTAGGACAAGAACAAATACACGCAGACAGCGGCCCATACAATACACACTCCGTCCTCAGGCCGGTTATTAGAACCCAAGCTGCTCGACGAACGCCTGCCACGACGCGTCCAACACCGGTACCCCAGACGGCGGGTCTAAAGCCGCCTGCATCGGGTGCGTCCACGGGTCCGGCGACACATGCGCCAACGGCGGCGCCCCCATCCCTCCACTCCCACTCCCGGTTCCAACCCCGTTCGCTCCTACGGATCCAGGTCCGCCCGACCCGCTCGACGGCGTGTTAACAGTACCCGCGGGCGACGCAAAGTCAAAGTCCGGGAACAGCGGGAACTCCGCCTGCTGCGGGTTCGGGAACGCCGTCGACGGGAAGTCGAGGTTGAAGTGCGTAAGCGAGCTCGCGCCCGCCGCGACCGCCCCGCCCGCGCCGTCGTCCCCGTTGAACGCGTCCCACGGCACGCCCCCGTCGAACGCGCGCATGTCCTGCATGATCGTCGGGTGGATCATCTCTGGCTGCACGGCGGGCTCGGACGGGGGTGTCCGCCGCTTGGCTGCGCACCCCACTTCGCGCCGCGGCTCGGTGGGGCAGATGAGGTGGGTCTTGCCGCCGAGACGGTCGAGCTCGCTGTGGACGCGCGCGGATTCCTCGGCCGGTTGTGCTTTGTTGATCGCGTCGTGGGCTTGTTTGCGGAGCTTCCGGATTACCTCCTAAGAGTGCACTTGAGAAGGGCGCGTGGGAGACTATGGGAGATGATACGCACAAGGTTGTTGGATGCGATCTGGCACTGGCTCGCAGCCTCTTCGAACAGCTCGCACAGCTTGTCTAGCTCGTTCAGAGAGCACCGCGCCAAATTAGACGAAGGGGCACGAGTGACCAGCAGGCACATCACGATCTGTTCCGCTAGTTAGCAACGCACGACAAGTCGATCAGGAGAGGGAGGAGACGTACGCTGCCTGAGAGCGCATGCGACCATATAATGCCCATCCGAGACGAAATATTGGGCACGGCCTTGTATGCGCACCGTGTGCTGGCGAATATCCGCCATGCAGAGCGATATATCGCCATCACGGATGGGCCATACTTGTGCCTCAGCGGGTCTTCGGGCAGGTCGTTCAGCGCCTGCGAGAAGTACGGGCGGTGAAGGTTCAACAGAGCTAACGCGCCGTCAGTATCGCGTGTTCATGATGAAACGAAAGGCGGGCACTTACTCGTCTCCTTCAGCAATGTTGCGAGCAGCCGTTGCTCGTTTAGTGCCGTCGTCGGCGCCGGCTCCTCTACTGCGCCACATTGCACGCGTAGCGACGACGGCACCGGGAAATCGCGCACTTTGCGGTCCAGCTCCATCACCTTCGCGTACCCGGGCTGCTTTGCGCCGAACGCCGTCGTCATGATCGAGTACAGCAGTTTCGTGTACTGCCAGGTCCACACATGGACTTCAGATCGCAAGCGTAGTCAGTGAACTACAGACGAGAAAAACGAGCATTAATATCTCACAGCCAGCCTCGCGCTTGTCTTGTTCACTGGACGCGGACACAGTATCGGGCTCCTTCGGTATCTCGCAATCGACAAAGTCCAGGTTGATGCTTGGAGGTCGGCCAAAACCGAAGCTCTGCGGAAGCTGAAGTCAGTGCTCGGTCTCGCAAGGACCGTGTTGATTTGCTTACTAGCCATGTGTCCTGGGTAAATAGCTGCCAGAACACCTGATTCCGGTGTAGGGACGCGTCCTCGCACAGGCGCCACCGTGAACTGCTGACATCTGTGACAACGTGAGATATAGGATTGTCGGTCAAGCGGTATGCACATACGGAGTCCAATCTAGCTTTGTCGTCAGCCAAGATATACGAAACTTAGGTATACAAAACGTACACTGTGTCCCAGCTTCACAGCCTGCCCGATTTGCATCCACGCCTTGTGGGAACCAGTGTGTGCTGGCTCGCAGTCGCTCATTTCGAGGTACTGCGTCATGTAGATCTGCATCGGAGGTGAGCTCAGCTGTAACTTGGTGAGAACAGTCAAACGAACGAACCATAGTCTGGATGGCAGTAAGTGTCGTGTCGTGCGCAGGCGGTGCAAAGCGTAGCGCGACGCGAGAGAGCAAGTAATATTCTTGCGCCTCGACCGCATATGGCGGCGTGTTGGGATCGTAAAGGGTGGCGAGGGCGTATATGATCCAGAGGAGGGACATTAGATGTAGTGTGGCGACATTGCACGACTCGTCCCTGTATAAAATGAGTCGAGATGACTGTCCCGAGAAGCAAAATGCTTACTTCGGCGAGTGATAAATCACAGAGATGATGTCGTCGAAGATGTATTTTCGAGGGAGGGGATACCATCTATGGTGGTGATCAGATCTAAGCGCAATACCAACGTGAGGACCTGGTACTGACAAGAATTTCCCGAATTCGAGGAATGTCTCGCCTAGCTGACACGCTTGCGATAGTGGCGGAAGCATCTTCATCATCTCCATTGCGATATCGCAGTTCACGAGCGGGACGTCCAACTCTTTATTGGCTTCATCCACCATTGCTGCTGATAGACGCGGTAGCGGCACTTCGCTAGCAGATAATCGCTCTGGAGCCTGTACGACCATTGGTGACCAGTGCGAATGCTGAAGCGTGCAGAACCTACATGGATGAGATACTGGAAGAATTGTCAGTAGGTTTGTTGGGATACGGTTGACAAGAACATACCTCCGAGCGCGAAGTCTGGCCAAAGAAGCGCGTCTCTCCTCTCAGACCTAAGGTCAGAGTACCTGCGGAGTGCGATAAGTCATGCAACTAGAGGTATGCCACGAATCACGCACCGAATGCATCGAGGACATCCTCTTCGTCCGCAGAGAGAGCAGGAATGTCCCCAGGTGAACCATTCGCATGCGAAGAGGAGGGTGACTCTGCTGCGCTGCCACCGCTACCTGCGCCATTCTCGCCTTCGCGCAGCAATGGGTGTGGCTCATCGGAGATGGCAGCTTGGATGGTTCGCAACGCGTTCTCCAGCGCGGCCGACCGCCCCTTCAGCTGATCAATCTTGTTCTTGAGGTCTTCGACATCCGCAACCGCTTGCCTGTGGAATGTTGGCGTGGAATGTGGAAAGCTGTGCTGATTGAACACACCTTGTACCCTTACCCCCAGTGATTAATTGGCCTACATGTACATCTCTTCAGGATGACGTAGGGGGTTTACCAGAGCGAAAAACGTACCGTCGGGGCATAGCGCGGCGCACCCTCTCTTCGTGCAGGTCTCACATGGGACCTAGAGGGGCGTCCGGATGCACACGAATGAGCGGTGACCGGGAATGGCGGGCTCGGTCGGGGACTCACCTTGCGATCGCAACGCAGCTTGAGCCTTGGAGAGGAAGGTGCGTGAGCTCATGGGTGCACTGAGCTAATCCCGGTCGGACATACCTTCGGCATTCAGCACACGAGACGGGCACTCGGCCGGGCCGCTTCCTCTGCCTCGGCTCCCCGTCCGGCGAGTCCTTCTCCTTCACGGGCGGCATGTCCTGGGCGATGTGGGGGACGAGGTCGACGTTTGGTGGGCCAGCGACGAGGTGGAATGAGACAGAATGCGGAGGGTTGCGTACGTATGGGCATGCCGCCCCTTTGGAGGCGGCAGAGATGCGCTGCCTTACTCAGCACAGATCTGTCGGGGCCTCGATGATCGACCGCCCACAAAGCTGTGCTCCGCATAGAGTAAATGTGTTCGACGCCCGACACTGCTTGTGTCCCATCCTTCCTCCACCGCATCCTCATCTCGAATGCATATGTCCCATTCGATAGGAGTATGTATGAGCTGCAAATGATAGCATTGCGATGGGTCGGTACTCCGACCGGTGTATGCAACACCAGCCGACGCATATCCCGGTCGGGGAGGCTCGCGTTCATCTATTGGCCGTAACTCCGGCGTGGTCGGGATATATATCGTGTCTCGTTCATCTCGGTCCCCTCCTCTTCCAGTGTCCAGCCGCGCCCCTTCTCTACATGCTCTTGCGCACCCGTGCTCGCACATGCAGTCCCGCGTGGCATCTCCCGCATCCCCATTTCGACCGCCCGCTACCCCGTCGCGCTTACTTCAAGATACGCGCTGCAGCGCAGCGAGACAGCAGTAGGGAGACACTTCAGGCAATGCTTATAATTATCAGATCGTTAAACAGGTCATCCAAGTATCTTTTGAGACCATAACCTACAAGACAACGTGCACAGAGCGGAAAAAACTGCACCAAACCACGGTATCGTACACACAACACATCACGCCCTCTATATCCCAAGCTGCTCGACCAGAGCCTGCCAGGTGGCCTCCGCGTCCGCCACGTTCGGTTGCAAGAAGTCCGCATTGCTCGGCAGCCACCCGTTCAGCGACGGGTCCCAAGCGACGGCCCCGGAGAGGTCGAAGTCCGCCATCGGCGGCGCCCCCGCCTGCCCCTGCATCATGTCAGGGAACCCGCCCGACAGCGGGAACCCAAAGTCGAATGGCGCCGCGCCCATAGGCACCCCATTGTTGTGGCCATTCGTATGGCCGTTCGCCTGCGCCTGGAAGCCGTTCAGGTGCGCGCCGTTGCCGTTCACAGGGCCCGGTGCATCGAACGAGAGCATGTCCGTGTCGAGCGCGACGGTCGGCTGCAGCTGCGCGCCATACGTGTTGCCCTCCGCGAACAGGTTCGTCACCTCGAACGACGTCGGCCCGTTCTTGACGGGGGGCGGCCGCGATGGGCAGTGCAGCTCGCGCTCGCCGACAGTCTGGATCAGCTGCGTCTTGCCGCCGAGGCGGTCGAGCTCCTGCGCGACGGCTGCGGCGTCGTCCACGCGCACGTTCGACATCGCCGTCTGCGCTTGCTTGCGCAGCTTCCGGATCACCTCCTGTCGTGGGCTGTGAGCGCACAATTCGGGAAGAGAGGGAAGAGAGAGGGCATGGACGTACCAGGTTGTTGGAGGCGACCTGACTCTGGCCTGCCGCGTCCTCGAACAACGAGCAGATCTTGTCGAGCTCGATGAGGCAGGGTGCGGCGAGCGTCGACTTAGACGCGCGGGTGATGAGCAAACAGAGCATGATCTATCGGAAGGTTAGTGTGCTTCAGATGCACATGGACAGCCTATTGAAACGCACTGCGCATGCCAGCGAATGCGACCAAACTAGGCCGTATCGTGACGTGATTCCAGGCGCGGCGCGGTATGCGGATTGCATGGTAGTGAGGATCCTCCATGCGGATCGGTAAATCGACAACACGGACGCCCCGTACTTGTGGCGCAGCGGGTCGTCAGAGGCCTCCTTGACCGCCAACGAGAAGTATGGCCGATGCAAGTTCAGAAGGGCTGGTTTAGTGTTAGTATCAGGACGTTTGTACAGGTGGGGTACGTTACTCACTTGTCTCCTTGTGCACAGTGACTAGCAGCCTCTGCATGGTCAGTGCGATCGGCTCTATCTTGTTCTCCTGCGGCCCGCATGGTATGCGCAGTGAGGGTGGGACAGGGAAGTCACGGATGCGCCTGTCGAGCTCGAAGACCTTCGCATATGTCGGGGGCTTCGCGCCTGATGTTGCGGTCATGACGGCATGCATCACCCTCGTGAATTGCCAGCACCACGCGTGGTCTGTTTATAGCGTGATGAGCGATACGCTCTGAACAGTTGAGAGGGTCACGTACAGGTTCCATCTTCTTCGTTCACCACGGCGTCCGCTTCTTTCGGAATGTCGCAGTCGACAAATGATAGAGAGATGCTTGGGGGCCTTCCGTAGCCGAAGCTCTTTGATGAGACGGTCAGTGTTGCCCATGTAGACTACGCAGAATTACGCACGAGCCAGGCGTCGTACGTCGCCAACTGCCAGAAGATCCTCCCGCGCTTGGCCGCTGCCTCGTGGTCGAGCTGCCACTTCCTGCTGTTCACATCTGAAGGCGCCAGATATTAGTATCGTTCGACTAGTCCCTTATGACTGAGAGTGGCCTTACGCAGTCCGATCTGAACCGAAAATGTGAGTCAACAATGGTAGCGGACACTTCAACAATGCTGTACTTACGCTCTGCCCCAGAGTCGCGGCCTGTCGGATCTGCATCCATGCTTTGTGCGAGCCGGTATGGGCTGGCTCACAGTCACTCATCTCCAAATAGAGAGACATGTAAATCTATGCAGCGTATCAGTAGCCTTCCCTTAGACCCATTATATATCAAACGTACCAGAGCCTGGAGGGAGGCGAGTGTCGTGTCGTAGGCAGGCGGTGCCCACCGAAGAGCGATACGAGCGATCAAATACCACTCGTGCGCTTCGGCGGCATACGGAGGCATGTTCGTGTCAAACAGCAGGGCGAGCGCGAAGATCATGCAAAGGAGCGCAATCCCGTGCTTCTTCGCGACGTGGCATTTGTCCATATAGCTGGAGTGCACTCAGTATGGTGGCGACCATGAAGCACCTGCCTAACTTACGCTTCGGGATGGTACATAAGGGGGATCACTTCGTCCATAATGTAGTCCCTTGGTACGGGGAACCATCTGGAAAACGAAGGCAGATCAGTATTCTGATAGCGATAAACCTGTTGCGGTCACCTACAAGAATTTCGAGTATTCGAAGAACATCTCGCACAAATGCATTGCTTTAGAGATGGGTGGGAGGCACTTCATAATGTCCTCCGCCACATCGTTACTAGTGCAGAAGACGTCAAGTTCCTTATTTGCCTCGTCGATGGAGACGTGGGTCAGCCGCGGGAGGGTTGGAGGAGCATAGGCGGCCAGCCGTTCAGGTGCCTTGAGAACAGCGTCACGAGATCATTCAGGCTCCCATGGAGCTTTAGACTTACGTGAATGAGATACTAGCGGGCCTCACGTCAGTATGAGGGGGGCAGGAAAGAGACATCCGATTACGTACCTCTGACCTCGACGTCTGGCCGAAGAATCTAGCCTCACCACGAGTCCCCAGAGTCAACGTGCCTACTGCCCGCAGCATGAGCACGACTAAGAGTAGCCGCTGGAGTGTGCGCACCATATGCATCAAGTGAGTCGGCCTCCTCGTCGGACGCTTCTTCACGCTGCGGAGGCGTGCTGCCTGTGGTAGGACTGCTAGAACTATCGGCACGAGGGGGTGTGCTCCCCGAGGCACTACTACTGGATGGCAGCGGCGGTTCCTCAACGGGAATTCCAGCAGGTGCCTTATCGCCGCGCAAGAGCGGATGGGGGTCGTCCGATACTGTTGCCTGTAGCCTCTGGAGGGCACCCTCCAGTTCGCTGACTCTCTTCCTGAGCTGTTCGGCATCTGCTGCTGTTTTCCTGCAGGCTCCAGTTAGCATAGATACGGACTGCATTTCGACCAATGACGACAGACTTAGGGCCTTTGGTAGTGGGTAATGAACCTGACGGAAGAGTATCAGTGATCGGTAGCTCAGCACACACAGGGGCCGCGTCTTACCGTCCGGACAGAGGGCAGCACAGCCCCGCTTTGTGCACGTCTCGCATGGTACCTGTGTACGCAGTTAGTCTATGGAGGTCCACAACACAGCACATGAGTAATGAAAAGCACACCTTGCGATCGCATCGCAATTTGAGCCTTGTGGACAGATCAATAAGGATCGACGAAGACGTTTTGAGCTAGAAGATGAACACGAACCTGCGGCACTCTGCGCAGGAGACAGGGGCGCGGCCGGGCTTCCGCCTCTGCTTTGCGTCGCCCTCGGCCGGAGGCTCTCGCTCTTTCTCGGAGTTCCTGGTGGGGGCCATCGTTGTCTCTGTCAAGAAGGAAAGCTGGTTTTGGCAGCAGAAAGGCCGCGCGGAGCGGGAATGCGGTGCTAAGAAGTTAGCCGCTAAACTCGGGCGGATGTTGGAGACAGGAGGGCAACGAGCCGCGCTCACCACGATCGCCGTGTGCACACCGTGCTCCGATTGGGCGGAGCTGCGGGTCGATTGCAAAATCGAGGGGTTTGCCGTGAACAAGCGACAATTCTTTTCAATGGAGGAGCCTGCGCGAGCCGGCCGCGAGCTGGCGTATGCCTTCGGCGGGGTAAGCGCCCGACGGAGATAGCATTTTGATCATCTTGTCGTTCCAGAAGGGAGTAGATTCAGAGTCCTTGGAGACACAGAGACACAGAAAAGGCACTGGACCTACACTGGACCAGGAGCAATCAATGATGATCACCAGAACTTCGAGTGGCTGTAAGTCAACAAGTGGTTGATTCGGATACTTAGCGCTCGCATCCCCAAAGAGCAGTTCAAAGCGATCTATTATCTTTGTACATGAACGATTACTACATCCCGCACCTGTGCGTCTCTCATTGCTGCGCGTACACTACGCGATCAGCTTCCCACTTGACCAGTCTTGGAACGTCGACGTGTCCTTGAGCCACTGGATGAGCTCGGCGCGTTTGACCTTCGTGCCCTTGTCGCTCGACGCGACCTTGACCTTCTTGCCGTCGACGAACTCCCACTTCTGCTCCTTCACGGTGACGAGGCCCTCCTTGAGCTCGTCCCCGCCCAGGATGATCGCGAACGGCACCTCGTCCTTCTCGCCCGCCGCGAACTGCGCAGGCAGCTTCGGTTTCGCCTTGAACAGGAAATCGGTCTATTTCCAATGGACATCGATCAGTCATCCGCGGGTCTCAAGTTAACAACGGTGAACGCATGCGCACCTTGATCCCTGCTTCACGCAGCTCGCGCACGAGCTCGACGCGCTCTGCAAGCAGTCCGTCGCCAGCAGCCATGACATACGCCATCGTCTCCTTGCTGCGCATCCCGCGCTCCGCCCACTTCGGCCACACGAGCGCGAAGATGCGGTCGAGCCCGATGCTCACACCAACACAGGGCAGGCCTGGGGCCTTCTTGCCCTCGCCCGCGGCCGCGGCGGTGAACATGCCCACGAGGTTGTCGTACCGGCCACCTGCTGCGATCGAGCCGACGCCGACCTGCGACTCGTCGATCTCCTCCTCTTCGTCGGGGGACGCGGCCTTCTTCGCGGCCTTCTTTTTGGGGGGCTGTTGTGCAGCGGGCGGGGCGGTGGAGGAGGTGGAGGGGGTCGTGGAGGAGGAGGCGAAGGCGTTGGCGGCCTTAAAGCCGGGGGGAGCGGAGGCTTCGACGATGGCTTCGTAGATGATGCCGGTGTAGTAGTCGAGGCCACGGGCGAGGGAGAGGTCGAAGGAGATCAGGGAGAGGACGTTGAAGGATTTGAGGTAGGTGAAGAGGATGACCATCTCGTCGACTCCGGCTTTCGCATTCGCGTTGGCCATGAGCGCCTCGTCCGCCTTGAGAATGTCGAGTAGCTCAGGACCGCCTGTTGTTTCGTCAATATACGAGTAGGCACGTAAAGGGCATATATACATACCCTTGTGCTTAACATACTCTCCGATCTTGTCTGCGGAGGCAGGATCCAGGCCCTTTTCCTCCGTCATCTCCTTCTTCACGTCTGCCCAGGACATCTGCGTTCACGTTCAATGACGCATATTTTGACCACACTCGGGATAGCGCACCTTGTCAAGCTTGTCGACAGCAGACGAGATTGGGCGGATCTTGTCTGCAGGCACACCGCATACCTCGAATATGCCGTCCAGGATTTTGCGGTGGTTCATCTGAAGAGCGCGACCTCAGCGTGCCGTCGCAACATGGTGTCGGGTGTGCAAGCATACCTTGATCGTGAACTCGCCGACATCCAAACGGGACAGGATTGAACAGACAACGCTGATTACTTCGGCGTCCGGGATCATAGTATCCCAAGCTCCAGCAATATCGAAGTCCTATAAACCGCTGAGGAACGCTCACAGTGTGCGTCATGGATCGGACGTACCGCTTGCGAAAACTCGCGCATGCGTCCCTTCGACATGACGGGGTTGTCTCTCCTGTACACCTTGCCGACCTGCCAGAGCTTGTTCTGGGTGGTGATCGCTCCGTTCATGGCCAGGTAGCGCGCCAGGGGAACTGTGTGGTCGTAGCGCAGAGCAAGCTGCTCACCGCCCTGGTCCATGAGATCGAAGATGAGCTTTGCATCTTCTCCGTACTTCCCCGCAAGGACCTCCTTGCGCTCGAAGACGGGGGTGTCCAGTTGGCTTCCGCCATAGGTCGTGAAGCAGTCCTTCACGATGCGCTCGATGTGTTCGCGACAGAACATCTCGCCGGGACCATAGTCACGCGTGCCCTGCATGCCGTACCACCACCGAGACAGATCGGAGTAGCAGTAGGCAGAGTGGTCTTCGCGATGAGCTTGAGTTCACGTTTGCACATAGAGACAGCGGACGCACCTTCGCCGTTTTGAGCAGTATGCGCTCCTTCTTCTTTCCATCCTTCGCGCCCCCGTTCGCGTTTTGCTGAAGTGCGAGGCTCCGTTTCAGATCTCCAAGCTTCTTCTTTGCTTCCTCCACTACCGCAGGATCTGCCTGCTGCTTTCGCAGGTCATTTAGCAATGAACTCTGGGCCGCGATCTCGTCCGCGAGTGCGCTCGCTTGCGGTTGTGTCGAGGAGGCCATGCGTCTAGTTGTTTGGCGAGGGGGAGGAGATATAATACAAGATCGATATGAGCGAGAGAGAAGGAACGCGGCGCGATTTGCGTGGCGGAGCATCCAACTGGAGGACTTGAGTATAGATTTCTTGCGTGTGACACTCCCCACCTTGACTCGATCGTCATCGACCATCTAATCTAATCGCGGCTCGCCCTTCCGCTTGCCGAGTATTCCAGTCTCTGCAGGTCTCTGACCACGACGACCACTCCCTCCTCTGTGCATTATGAATACCACGAGCCTCTGTCGACGATAAAATCCTCATCGTATCAAACCCCGTCCCGACAAGATATCTCGATGTCTTCAACCCACTTTAGTTCGCTCTTTCAACGCTCTTTTCCCGCCGGTCCGAGTTATGTTGCCGACCAGGTAGGTTTGCTATTATTATTGGCCGCCTCACCAGGAACCCGCGGGTAGGGAACGGGCGGGCAGCATGTGCCTGTGAAGCTTCGGCCCGAGAAGTTATGCAGGCCTCCGAGATAGCGTGCCGTGGATGTCCACACGATGTTGACGGGCGCAGGCGGGTTTCACACATAACACCGTACGTACTCACCGTATCCTTCCAGGCCGACGTCATTGAAATATACAAGACCCAAGCTGTAGTGGCTGCTACAAGACTCGAGACCGATCGTTAAATGTTTACGCCAGCATAGTAATGCCGAGCCATCCCGCCAAAGCCGTCAAGCGAACCAGTGTAGCAAGAATAGCGCCCTGCGGACTGCGGATGAAGCATGACGGCTGCCCATTTTCATGAGTTTAATCGAACCCCGGTGAGCGTCCGACGTCCGCCCCAACTGCGGAGTGCGAAGATAAACGTTCTTTCGTCCGTGCAGCGGCCACACCCCACGGCACCGAGCGGGTTTGCTCGTTGAAGAGCATCAGATATCCGCCGCACGCCGCCCTCAGTGCGACGACCACACAACCACATTGTCCGTAACGACCGCGCCTGCTCTGTTTCATGGGCTTGTCCGGAGGTCCTCCACTAGAGATATTGCACTTGCAACGGTCACTGTCGGAAATCAGCGCGGAAACGATCGTTGCCGGAGCTTCGCGTGAGGCTGAAAGCGCAGTCGTATCTCGAAGGCGGAGTTGCCGAAAGCTCTGCGGGGTGAACATGGCTTCCATAAATTCCTCGCTTGTGCTTGCGCTGCTTCGAACTCCCCTCTCATCTCTTACCCACCTCCCATGTTACCCCTTCACGGCTCTGATCGCGACTGGCTAGACCCCCCGCCTGCATCTTCTAAGGGTCGTTGGCTCTCACGTTTCGCTGCTGGCTCAGCCCTCTTTCTGTCGGTGCACGCTCTCTTGAAACTATACAGCCACGCCACGACTGTGGTTACACCACCTCCCTACCAAGCCCCTAGTATACCAAACGAGCCCGCCTACCCTCCGACGTACTCCGACTACCATCGGGCCGAGTTGCAGTTACCGCAGCATCACTGGGACCAAACACACCCTGCAGGCGGTGAGAAGTTCTTCTTCGTCGCCGGACACACGAAAGGTTAGCACGCACGTATGTTTCTTCACCTTTGCTTGGCTCACTATTCTATGCTGCAGGGCTTGGGTGGGGAAACGCTCTGCAAGAGCACTTGCTGAATGCGTACCTGGCGTATGTTTCTAATCGAATGTGAGTACTTGAGCATACGCACCATGACGCTGAGCTGACGCCGTCCCAGACTGGTGTTTGAGAACTACACTTGGGCGGATGATGGGTCCCTCTACTCGGAATGGAATGGGAAGTTGATCCCATCTCAAATACCCTACTCGGCCTTGGTGCGAGGTACGTCTCAAAGGTTCGTTCACCGTGCTTTTCCAACCTCGCTTCCTTCAGGTCCCACTGTGGGTGAACCTCTGGCGTCAGGCGTGTTTGCACCATTGGCGGTGAGCAGAGAGTACTTCAACCACCTCTGCCCTCACAAGACCACGCTGCGCCGAAATCAAGTTCACTCGAGACTCCCTGCCCCCGCCTCCGCGTTTGACATCACCGAGAGGTGGATGTCCGTGTTAAAGGCCACAGAAGACCCCTGCGTCGAGTCAGCTTCTGGCGACTCCGACCCTATATTCACACATACTAAGTGAGTGCCTTAATTCAAGCCCGTAGTCACGCGTTCTAAATTCCAAGGTAGTGTCTTCGGAATTCGTGAATCATTACGCGACCTCTGGCCTTCCCTCGCCGCGTCCCCCATCATAACCGAATTCGGCTGGTCCCGCCTCGTTGAGCTCGCGTTCGATACAAATCGCGGCTTGCTCGTTCCCCACGCGTCGCATATGGATCCCCTCCTGACCAGCACACACTTTACGACCAACGCCGAGCGCTACACGCCCATACCAGGGCTCATGGCGATCCACGTGCGACGCGGGGACTACGCGGAGCACTGCAACCTGCTCGCGAGCATGTACGAGGACTTCGTGAGCGTGAACGCGTTCCCATACTTCCCGGACACCTTCACGGTCCCGTCCCGGAGCGCGGTGTCGACAAGCGCGGTCGACAACGAGGAGCACTACAGGCAGCGGTGCTTCCCGTCCGTGGCGGAGATCGTGGAGAAGATCGCGCGGGTGCGCGCGACGCCCGAGGGGCGCGACGTGCGCAAGCTGTACATCATGACGAACGGGAACCAGGCGTTCATCAACGAGCTGAAGACGGCGGTGTGGGCGCTGGGCGCGTGGGACGCGGTGTCGAGCAGCCGCGACATGGTCCTCAACTGGGAGCAGAAGTACGTTGCCCAGGCGGTGGACATGCTCATCGCGCAGCGAGCGCAAGTGTTTATCGGGAACGGGGTGCGTCTCGAACTTCTTCTGGTTATGCGTGCTGGGTGTGCTGACGCGACTATGTGCAGTTTTCGACGTTGACTTCGGGCGCAGTAATGATGCGGCTGGCGAACGAGTTTCCTGCGGACAGTACTCGCTTCTGGTAGCGCGTGCCGTGGACGATAGTGGCCTGCTCCGTCCTGTGGACCTTTTGTATCCTTATTGTGCTTTCAGTATACGCTCTTTCGATTATGGTAACTCTAATATTGCATCTTTCCAGGCTTCACACCCTTTCCCAGTGTCGTTGGCCACACCTTGCCCTCGTAAACCACGGGTCGACAGCCTGAGCACGTCGCCGACTCGGGGGTACGAGCGGGACGGCCGGGCCGCTTCGGATATGGAAGCGCTTCACGCCATGCGAGACCTTGCGACGCGCGAGCCTCGTCGACATCCGTCTCTGGAGCCGCGATGCGGTCTGGAGGTCATCTGCTCACCATGACTGCGTTCTATTGGATGAGCGGTGTAGCTTCCGGCAGAAATGTCCTCGGAACCTTCCTCTGGGCCCTCACCTGATGCTTGCCAACACCTCTCGCTCTCCGGGCCCGCAGCATTCGACGAGTTTGAGCTGACCCCCGTCCCTGACAGCAGGCTCGTCGTGAGAGATATAAGGATCTCACTCTACGCTCTAGAAGCTTGACTAGTTGTCACCCAAGCCACAGCTAGCAAAGATGCTCGGCCGCGTCTTGCCACTTGTGCTGCTCACCTCTTATGTCTTCGCCTGGGAGACGTTCGTGGTGCCACATGCTGACGGTCAAGACGACACACCTGCGCTTCTCACTGCACTGGCTACAGGAAACTACTCTGCTAACGCGACCATCTTGTTCGCGAAGGGGGCCAAGTACAACATCTTCACCCCCGTAAAGTTCCCCGTCCTCAATAACGTAGAGGTACGGATCGAAGGCAACCTGAGCTATCCCGACGATATAGCTACTGTACAAGGTAGGATCGTTATTATACTTCCACAGCAAAAGAGCTCACGACTCCGCCTAAAGCCGCTGTCGGAAAATCGGTAAGTCAAGATGGTAATGTGTTGGGAAAATTTTGGTCGTGGTTTATCTTATACACGTCTGCAGGGATTCCCCGGTGCCTGGTAAGCATCATCGTAATTGAAAACCAGTCTATAAGACAAGAGTGGTTGCTGATAGTCTCACGGCTAGGTTCGCATTCAGTGGCGGTAATAATGTGACCCTTCGAGGCTCCGAGGATCCGGAGTGGGGCTGGGTGGACGGCCATGGCCAGGCTGTATGTGCGCTCCTTATACATCAAGCGTCCTTAACAATGACTGAAGGACGGACAGTGGTGGGATGCTCAACAGCAAACCAATCGCCCGCATGGATGGGCCTTCAGCAAGATCACGAACGGCGTCATTCGCGATATGAAACTCTGGAAGGTAAAGCCAACGTGCGAATGCAGCTCCAGATTTCGTGTGCTGATCTAAATACCCTCTTCCAAGCCTGTTGCGTGGAACTTCGCCACAAGCGGCTCGAAGAATATTCGTGCTTTCAACAACAGGATTGTGGCGGTCTCAAGCACCGGAGTGCGTCCTCACTGGCGCGGTGTTCTCTTGGTCGTGCGGCTTGCTAACATGAACTATCGCAGTCCTTCCCGTTCAACACGTGAGTACCCTCTCCCAATAAGTACAGCTTTGAAATGGGACTTAATGATATACTTCTCGCACAGCGATGGTACGTCTTTGACCGTTGGTACCCGGTCACATTTCCGACCTGTGATATAGGCTTCTCTGCGGGCGGCACGGACCTTGTGTTCGAGAACAACCACATCCAGAATGGCGACGACTGTTTAACAGTAGGAAGTGGAGCCAGGAACATTGTCTTCAAGTGCTTCAATATCTCAGCAAATTTGATCGTCTACTAACATTGCGTGCGTCATCTAGGAATAGCGTCTGCGAGGGAGGACACGGCTTGTCTATCGGCTCCCTTGGCTCGGGCGGCTCAGTCGCGGACGTCCAGGATGTCTTGTACGTTGATTTATTTCAAGCTATTCCCGTGACTGCAGATAGCTGATCTTTGGAAAAGGATTGAGAACGTAGTCATGGCGAGCATGAATTATCGAACGCCTACGTTATGGCTGTTGAAATACGGTGACGTTGACTTTACTTAGTACGCATAGCTCCTGTCGTATACGTGTCTATCGGACTTTCATTCACACACTTACATTACTTACCTATCACTTTAAACTCCGCACCACCTCCTACGTACGGCCGTGCCACATCTCTCTTCCCTCAGTCGTTCTTCCACCGACTGAGGTATGTTCATGCTACCGTCCGTTACTCGTACTACATACTCACACTGTATCTACAGCTCCCGCTGACTGCGTACGCTGTTAGGTACAGTAATCTAATCCAGTCGTTCTTCCACCGACTGAGCTCCCGCTGACTGCGTACGCTGTTAGGTTATGAGCCCTGCTCGCCAGTAGCGGGCAGTTCTTCGGTCTCGCGCGAAGACACTCACGGATCCGGTCTACGCTATCACGCCTTATTAACGACTGTCATTCACGACCTACGACTCAGTTCCGATCTCGTCTGATTGTCTCGATCCCACGTCTATGACCACCCCCGGCGGCTCGCCCACGACACAACCACCGTCTCTTCCCGACTCGACACCTCTACCACCCCCTGCTACGACCCCCGAACACACCGCTGAACTCGCCGCACGCGCCGCCACGACCAATTCGATGTCGACCAAAGGATGGGAACTCCCGTCCGGCGTCAACTCGTTGGTCCCGACGCGTCCGCTGGAGAACGAAGACGGATATCGGGCATGGTCGATGCAGATGCAGGGTGCGCTCGAGTACGCGACCCTCTGGACAGTGGTGAGTGGTGAAGAGCTTGCCCCCTCCTCTACGGACACCACCGCACTCTCGCTCTGGAAGCGCAAGGACGGCGCCGCGCGCACGCTCATCATGCGCAACCTCGCGGCCGACTTGCAGTCGACTGTCAACACCCTGGACACGGCGATGCAGTTCTGGACTACGCTGAAGACTCAGTTCTCGCGTACGTCCTTGACTTCCGCTGTCACCTGGTTTCGGTCACTCGTCGCGCCCCTCTCGTCTGTACACAACCTCGAGCCGCACATCCAAGCATACCTGGAAGCCATCGCGCACCTCAAGTCCTCCGGATTCTCTGTCCCTGACCAAATGGCCGCCGGCATCTTCCTCTCCACCCTCGTCGACATCGACGGCGAGCCCACTCAGTGGCTTGCCTTCACCGCCAAGTTCTCCCTCACCGACTCTACCACCCTCAACTCGACGCTCGCAGACGTCCGCAACGAGCGCCGGCGTGTCGTCGGCATGAAGCCTCCGGGCTCGTCGACCGACACCGCCATGGCACTCGAGCTGGCATTCACCACTCTCGAGAACGATCACCGCTCCCGCGGATCGAAGTGGTGCCGCTTCTGCAGGCGCGAAGGGCACTGGAGCTCGGAATGTAGGACAAAGGATGGCGGCGGCGGATCGAAGAAGAAGCGCGGCCGAGGGAAGAAGAAGGACAAGGACAAGTCCAACGTAGCTCAGGACTCTGGCGCGGACTCCGGCTCAGGCGACGAGCAGTCCCATTTTGTACGTTCCGAGCGCGTCCTATGCACCTCTATTAGCCCGTATCCCTTGTGTGAGCCCGAATCTGCCTTCGTCTCTTGTTCGCGCAAGAGCACGCCTGGCCAAGTCATCATCGACTCGGGCACGTCCTCGCACATCCACTCGGTCAAGGCAGACTTCGTCGGTGTTCACTCGACGTCTAGTACTATACGCGGCTTCGGCGATGGCAAGACAACTGTTGCGGGCCGCGGCGAGGCGCAGCTACTAGCACGACTACCTGATCATGGTTGCACACGCCTTCGCCTCGCTGATACCTGCTACGTACCGGGCACCTCACCCAGTCTCATCTCCGTATCACGGCTTGACAATGCCAATTGCTATACGCTTTTCGGCAACGGTCGCTGTGTCACGTTCGAGAATCGTGATGGCGGTGCTCTTCTGCGCAACGTCCTCGGGAACGGCAGTGTTGTGCTGACAGGCACGAAGGGCGCCGACCGGCTATATCACTTGGATACTCCGAGCGAGTCTGTGTTCCACGTCTCCACGAACCCGTACGGGAGACTGCAGGACCTTCACGGACGTCTCGGACACCTCAACTATCAATCCATTCGGACACTCGTCCGCAAAGGCCTCGTGCGTGGAGTCAAGCTGTCAAAAGCTGAGCTCAACGCTGAGCCACCACTCTGCTCGTCCTGCATGCAAGGCAAGATGACTCGCGCCTCGTTTCCTCTCTCTCAGAGTGGTCGCCCCGAGCGTGAACTCTTCCTCGCATCCACGGACCTCTGGGGTGAAGCGCAAGTTCAGACGCCTGACGGCAAGCGGTACGTGATGACATTCACGGATCACTACCACCGTTGGCTCTGGGTTGCATTCCTGCGACGCAAGTCGGACGCTTTTGGTGCTTTCAAGGAGTGGCTTGCCCGAGTCGAACGTGAGACTGGACTCAAGCTGGCCAAGCTCCGTGCTGACAACGGTGGCGAGTACGTGGGCAATGCGTTCAAGGCATTCTGCAAGGAGCGTGGTATTCAACTCCAGACCACCTCTCCTAGGACTCCTGAGCAAAACGGAGTGGCAGAGTGCCAGAACCGCAGTGTATTCGACCGAGTCCGCACTATCCTCATCAACTCTGGACTCCCGCTCAACCTCTGGGCAGAGGCGGTCAACTACATTGTCTACACGAAGAATCGCAACCCGACCGCTGCGCTCGATGGATCGACTCCCTTCCAGATTCGGTATGGTCATGCTCCCGACATATCATTCCTGCATCGCTTCGGATGCCGAGCCTACGTCTACAACGACCATCCGAGCCGAAGAAAACTCGATCCACGAGCACGCGAGGGCATCTTTGTTGGATATGCGGACAACCAGAAGGCTTACCGCGTCTATTTCCCAGACACGCGAAAGCTCGTCACGTCGATCCACGTGCGATTCCACGACGATGCGAACGGATTCTCAGGACGTCTGCCCGAGGGGGAGAAAGATTACGACTCCCTCATCGAGTCATTCGACCCGCAAGCAGATCTCGATGATGGTCGACCATCTCACAGCCAGATTCCTGAGGCATCCGCTTCCGACGACGCTGCCACTGTCCCCGACGCGCCTCCTGATGAACAGCAAGCACCCATCGCTGTTCCGCCTGCACCAGATGCTCCGCCAGTGCCACGCCCTTGTGGACGGCCCAAGGGCTCGAAGAACAAGAAGGGCGGTGTCGCCGTCCGTCACTCAAGCCGTATTCGAGCACTGGCCGGTGTTGCAGCAGCCCCAGATGCTCCTGCTGAAGAGCCACACCCTCCTCAAGCGGTCGCAGCGCTGGAGCCGCCACTTGTCGAGCATCCTATCCCAGGGGGAGATGTTCCTGATGAACTCTGAACCTGGAAGGCTGTAAGCCGCACAAAGAGAGGTCTTCAGTCTGTGAGAGAACGACTATGATTGCATAGTACTGTACCTGTAAGCCGCACAAAGAGAGGCTACAAGTACTAGTAAGTAAACATGTAAGGAAGCATAGGTAGTGTGGGACTTACTCTTCAGTCTGTGAGAGAACGACTGAAGAGCAGAGGCCTGCAGAGTCCTCCTTATATACTACTGGGGAGGACGATGAGTAAGCGTATAAGAAGAGAGCATGTGACGTCCAGAGGACGCTGACTGAGCGATGAATAACGCTGAGTAAGGGAGCATAATCGACATAAGGTCAGATAGTCCATGGCTGAGTAATGCGAGTAATCCGGACGCTGTCTAGAATAGTCCGGAACATCGTAGAACGTACCAGAATCATATGGAGGGATGGCAGGATGCCAAGTAAGTACAGAACAAAAGAATGTACGTATATGGTAAGTAGGAAAGTCCATGCTGGCGTATGGTAGACGCACAGCCACTATCACTGCCACTCCCGGTCCGGCACAGCCGTAGACACAGAAGTTCAACAC